CCGGTGCTGGCGGCGGTGAAGGAGCCCACGGGAGCAGCTGCGGGTGCTGGAGACCAGGGCTCGGGAGCTGCAGGCCGACCGCGAGAGCCTGGAGGTGGCAGCTAGCAGGCGAGTGGAGGCAGGCGGACGCCGCCAAGGAGAAGGACGCTGTCATCGACAGGTGAGCGGGCATCTGGCGCCACCCGGAGGCCAGCAAGGGAACGCGTGTCCGGTGGGCAGGGGGTCTTCTTAGCTTTCTGGTCATTTTTCTTTTTCTTTTCTTTCTTTTTTTTTTTTTTTTTGAGACAGAGTCTCACTCTGTTGCCCGGGCTGAAGTGCTGTGGCATCAGCCTAGTCACAGCAACCTCAAACTCCTGGGCAACAGAGTGAGGACTTCTGTCTCAAACAAAAAAAAAAGGAAAAGAAAAGAAAAAGAAAAATGACCGGAAAGCTAAGAAGACCCCGTCCCGACACGCGGTTCCCTTGTTGGCTCCGGCGTTGGCGCCAGAGTGCCCGCTCACCTGTCATGACAGCGTCCTTCTCCTTGGCGGCGTCCGCCTGCCTCCACTCGGCCCTGCGCAGCTGCACCTCCAGGCTCTCGCGGTCGGCCTGCAGCTCCCGGACCCTGGTCTCCAGCACCCGCAGCTGCTCCCCGTGGGCTCCCTTCACCGCCGCCAGCACCGCGTCCCTCTCCCTGGCCAGTCGGTCGAGCTCCTCATGCCTAAAACACAGAGAGGGTCCCCTAGCAGGTCACCCAGCCCCAGACTTCCAGACCCCCAGAACTTCTCTAGAGGCACTTATCACCCTGCCTTGTGCTGCGGCAGTCACTGTGCGTCTGTCCTCAGCTGGGTCACCTAATTCTGCAGGGCGCACTGCGCTCATTACTTCTCACAGGCAAACACAGACTGAGCCACTTAGACGCCAGGCTCAGCCTGCCTCCCCCGCCCCCCGAAAACTCACAAGCCCGCAGAAGAAAGACGGGAAAAGCAGGTACATTGGTACAATCTGAACACTACCACTCGGACTCCTCATCAACCTCTGCAAGCCAAAGCAGGCGGATGCTTCCTGCCTTGCATCTTGGTGCCAGTCGGGCCTGCCAGAGCTGGGACTGCCGTACAAAGCGTGCACCAAGCACATTAGCTCTGAATCGCCTCCACCTGGGCTGCTTGTGTGAATCACTTGGCAAAGTATGTTCCGTAACTCTCAGTGCCTTCATGATATTCGTCCAGACACACACACAATCACGCTCGTCTGCAGCGAGACTCTCGCACAGCAAGACTGCCTGGGCGGCTGGTTCCACAGTGTGGACAGGCTCTGCCACCAAGGGAGCTGGGGACACAGTCCTCGTGCCGGCACTCAATCTGCAGGGAAAACCCCAAAGCTCTTGGCCAGATAAAAGCACTGCATTTTATCTTGTATTTCTTGTAGAGATGGGGTCTCGCCACGTTGCCCAGGCTGGCCTAGAGCTCCTGCCCCCAGCTTTCCCCAGGCGGCAGGAGCTGACTACAGCGTCAGCTGGCTGACCCCCATTGAGGGGAGCTCGCCAGGTGGTCCTTTGGCACGTAGCTGGGAAGGAGCGCAGAGCACGTGAGATGCTGCCCTGGGAAGTCACTCCGCTCCTGTCTGGTCACGCATGTGAGAGGCAGACTCCATGAACAGACGCAGGGAAGCCCTGCTTGTGTCAGCAGGCTGTCCCCAAGAGTATTTACATCTTACTTAACAATCACTGTCCTTTACAGCATATGACACTGTTTTGTAAAGTGTACACTAATAATCATCACAGTTATCTTTATTTAGAAATGTTTCTGGATGCTGACAGTCTTGTGACCCTAGCAAATTTATTATCTTTAGATTATATGAATACATTATTACAGGTGATTGATTTCAAATTTTTTCGAGTATAAAAAATACATTAATTTAAAATGCTGTGGAGCTGTGGACTGGAAATGCAGAGTTCAGGAGGAAAAGGAACAGTGTAGACTTTTGCCTGCTGGGGAAAAGCAGGTTCAAGGAGGTTTGTGGTAGCGCGGGGGGCTCGCTCTGTCACCTCGGCTGGTCTCCAACCCCACCGCGCCCGGCCAGGTACTGTTTTTTTTTTTTTTTAAGCCAGAGTCTCACTCTGTTGCCCAGGCTAGAGTGAATGCCATGGTGTCAGCCTAGCTCACAGCAACCTCAGACTCCTGGGCTCAAGTGATCCTCCTGCCTCAGCCTCCCGAGTAGCTGGGACTACAGGCATGCACCACCATGCCGGGCTAATTTTTCCTATATGTTTTTAGTTGGCCAATTAGTTTTTTCTATTTTTTAGGAGAGACGGGGTCTCGCTCTTGCTCAGGCTGGTCTCAAACTCCTGACCTTGAGTGATCTGCCTGCCTCAACCTCCCAGAGTGCTAGGATTACAGGCTTGAGCTACTGCGCCCGGCCTAACAGTGTTATTTGTTAATGCTAGAAATTACACTCATTTTCATTATAGACCCTTGAACAACACAGGTTTGAATGGTGAGGGCCCATATATATGTGAATTTTTCAATAAATATATTGGAAACATTTTTAGAGATTTGTGACAACTTGAAAAATTTCACAAACTGCACAGCCTAAAAATATCAAAAAACTAAGAAAAGGTGTACTTTTCTAGCAGTACTAGCTTTTCTGCTAGTACTAGTACTAGCAGATACTACTAGTCTATATTATCATTTACTACTGCAAGATATTCACAAATCTATTATTAAAAGCTAAAACTTATCAAAGCATACCCATACAGACACTCACAGAACACACGTGGCACCATCCACGGTCAAGAGAAAGGCAAAAAAGTGAAGATGCCGCAATAAACCGCCACTGCGCAGTCACCTGTAGCACATGCACTGTAACCACTGCAACCAGGTCACAGCCCCTCCTGCTGCCACCGTGGGGAGCTCTCGTGTCGCAAGGACCCACTCACAACACAGCGTGGCGTGACACTCGTCACCTCCGAGTGCCCAGTTCGTCTTTGGGTAAAGTGCGCACCACAGTACACAGTGATCTCCTGCCGGGCACAGTGGCTCACGCCTGTGATCCCAGCACTTTGCGAGGCCAAGAAGGGAGGATTGCTTGAGCCCAAAAGTTCAAGACTGGCCTGGGCAACATAGTGAAACCCCATTTCTACAAAAGTTAAAATCGAAAAGAAAATCATGAAGGAGAAAAGATACTTGCCTGAACAGGCTTTTTTTTTTTTTTTTTTTTGAGACAGAGTCTCATTCTGTTGCCTGGGCTAGAGCACTGTGGCGTCAGCCTAGCTCACAGCGACCTCCAACTCCTGGGCTCAAGCGATCCTCCTGCCTTGGCCTTCCAGAGTGCTAGGATTACACGGGTGAGCCACAGCGCCCGGCCAATATGTGAATTTTGACTACACAGGGCGGGCTGGTAGCCCTAGTCTCTGAGCTGTTCAAGTGTCAACTATCAACTTACGATTTTTAAAATTCTAGATACAGATTTAAAAACCTACAAAGAGAAACGATGTTTGTCTGACTTCTTCACGGCCACACAGTGCGCCTAAGCACGCAGTCCTGGCACCACCGCCATCTGCTCTGCGTCCGTCTGGGCTCCCCACGCACCCACTCTGCCTCAGTTTCCTCACTGGGCATGAGAACACCGCGTGCACCCTCACGGCACGTGTCATCTGAGGGCACGGCCCTCTCACCACCCCCAGTGGGGCACGCGCAGCAGGCTGGAAAGCGTTTCCCGCTGCAGGGACACCAGGGCACAGCGGCAAAGACAGTGTCCTCACAGTTCAGCTTCTCAATCTGTGCATGTTGCACAAACATCACGACAACAAAACATGCACGAAAGTCACCCTTGCGTCACTGCCCGTCCCTCTCGCACGCCGTTACATACCATCTTCATAAACACCTACCTGTTTTTACTTATAGTTACAATGTTTCTTCAGAGAAGAAAAAGGAAGTGAATCCTGTGGTGGCAGCTGAAACAGAGGCTCATGGCCCCACCCACACCCCTGCACCCACTGCAGGCCCCACACCGCAGCCCCCGCCCTGTCCCTGAGCCGTCCCCGGCTCTGCTGTCTCGGGCACCCACTCACGCCGTCCTACCAAGAGTTTGGCCAGGCGTGGTGGCTCACACCTGTAATCCTAGCACTCTGGGAGGCCAAGGCAGGCGGATTGCTCAAGGTCAGGAGTTCGAAACCAGCCTGAGCAAGAGCAAGATCCAGTTTTTACTAAAAATATAAAGAAATTAATTGGCCAACTAAAAATGTATATAAAAAATTAGCCGGAGGCTGAGTACAGTGGCTCACACCTGTAATCCTAGCACTCTGGGAGGCCAAGGCGGGAGAAGTGCTCAAGGTCAGGAGTTCGAAACCAGCCTGAGCAAGAGCGAGACCCCGTCTCTACTAAAAATAGAAAGAAACTAATTGGCCAACTAATATATAGAGAGAAAAAATTAGCCAGGCATGGTGGTGCACGCCTGTAGTCCCAGCTACTTGGGAGACTGAGGCAGCAGGATTGCTTGAGCCCAGGAGTTTGAGGTTGCTGTGAGCTAGGCTGATGCCATGGCACTCTAGCCTAGGCAACACAGTGAGACTCTGTCTCAAAAAAATAAATTTTATATACATATATATATATAAAGTAGCCGGGCATGGTGGTGCATGCCTATAGTCCCAGCTACTTGGGAGGCTAAAGCAGAAGGATTGCTTGAGCCTAGGAGTTTGAGGTTACTGAGAGCTAGGCTGACGCCACAGCACTCTAGCCCGGGCAATAGAGTGAGACTGTCAATAATAATAATAATAATTTCAGTGGGAAAATGAGGGCTCTTTGGAACTTATGAATTTTAGATCCAAGAGAATAAAATTATTTTTGCTGCAATCATTTTAAAAATAAAGGTGGCTGTATCAACAAAGTAAAATTAGTTGTCCCAATCTAAAACTAGTTAAGTTCACTGGGCATGGTGGCTCACACCTGTAATCCCAGCACTCTGGGAGACTGAGGCTGGAGGATCGCTTGAGCTCAGGAGTTCAAGACCAGCCTGAGCAAGAGGATGACCCATAAAAATAGAAAAATTAGTCTCTACTAAAAATAGAAAAATCAGCCGGGTGTGGTGGTGGCACCTGCAGTCCCAGGTCCTCAGTCCTCAGTCCCCTGAGGTAGGAGGATGACTTGAGCCCAAGAGTGTGAGGCTGCAGTGAGCCACGATGGCAGCACTGCACTCTACTCAGGGTAACAGAGAGAGACTCTGTCTCAAAATAATAAACAAACAAACAAACTGGCTAATAAGTAAATCTTTTAAGTTTTAAAAGTTAACTTTTAACTTAGGTTTTAAATGTTTTAACTTTTAAAACACTGGAAAGCCTAAACGTCACTGAGAGGATCCAGAGCAGAAACACGGGTGCAAAGCCGAGTCAAGGCCAGACTCCCCTAGGACAGAACTTGGGGATGAACGTACCAGCCTTGGCTCCCACTCCCAGCCGCGGACAGGCTGTGCGCTGTGGGGTCAGAAACACTCACTTCCTCTTAAACGTTTCCTCTTCTTTTTTCCTGGTTAGCTGCACAGAGTGAAGTTCATCTTCTAACTCCTTTATCCTAAAAAGAAGCAAGTATTAGCGGGAAAAGCAGCTATGAGACTAAAGCAAAGCCCCAAGGGACTCCCGGCCCAGACCTCGCGACGCAGCCACGCGCTCTGCCCGGGAGACGCAGGCGACACGCACCGGGCATCCTTCACGGCTTCCAGGTCCCGGCACGCCCAGGCCTGGTGCTGGAGCTTCCTCTCCAGCTCCGAGTTCGCGGCCTCGGCCCGCTGCAGACACTCCGCGGCCTTTGCTCCAGCTTCTCTCAGAGCCTCAAGCTCTTTGTTCAGTAGTTTGACCTTGGAACGATTTTAAAAAATTCAAAATGAGGATGTAGTTAGAACCAACTGAGGCATTAGACACATGTACTGCCGTTTCATTGAGACTGGAGAGAACGGGCCTGATGCGCTGGCTCACGCCTGTAATCCCAGCACTCTGGCAGCCGAGGCAGGAGGATTGCTCAAGGTCAGGAGTTTGAGACCAGCCTGAGCAAGAGCGAGACCCCGTCTCTATAAATAGAAAGAAATTACTTGGCCAGCTAAAAATATATAGAAAAAATGAGCCGGGCATGGTGGCGTGTGCCTGTAGTCTCAGCTACTCAGGAGGCTGAGGCAGGAGGATCGCTTGAGCTCAGGAGTTTGAGGTTGCTGTGAGCTAGGCTGAAGCCACGGCACTCACTGTAGCCCGGGCAACAGAAGTGAGACTCTGTCTCAAAAAAAAAAAAAGACTGGAGAGAATAAAACTGATGTTCAGGAAACTGATGTTCAGATAGTAGAATGTCCTCGCACGCCACACCCCGTGGCGCAGACTCAGGTGAGACCGCGTGGCCCTCTGAAGGCTCCGCAGCCACCGAGTCAGGCCCTGGGCCCTGCAGGGACCCCACATGCCTCCCAGCCCTTCTCCGTAACAGACCAATTCAATTCCACTCTGTTTCTTAGCATGCAATTTCAGTATTACTTAAATAATGACATCGGCCACGCAGGGCGTGTGTGAGAACCTGGCTCACTGCTGAGCAACCCCACTCAAAGCCCAGCTGCACGCTGGATTTCTACATAACCTATGCCTCCATTTCCCTATCTGTGAAACGCTGGTGGTGACGACGGTTGCTATACCCAAATCAGAAAATATGCACACAGGAGCCGTGTACAGCGGCTCACGCCTGTAGTCCCAGCAACTTAGGAGGCCAAGGTGGGAGGACGGTTTAAGGCCAGGAGTTTGAGACCAGCCTGGGTAACATAGTGAGATCCCATCTTTAAAAAATAAATAAATAAATAAGAAAAATTAGCCGGGTATGAGCCTATGGTCCCAGCTACTGGGGAGGACAAAGCAGGAGGATCCCCTGAGCCCAGGAGCAAAAGGCGGCCAGCCGCAGTGGCTCACGCCTGTGATCCCAGCAAAAAAGACTCAGCTTTTGCTTTTACCGATCAACTGCATACTGTGATGTGAACCGCTGGGTCTAGCAGCAGGTGGAGACGGAAACAGGCCCAGCACCTGGGATGTCCCTCCGCCGACAGGAGAGCCCGCCCCACAGGGAGCACAGGGCTCCCACACGCCCACCTGCTCGCCTGCTCCTGGCTGCTCGGAAGTTCCCAAAGGGGCCTTGTGAGGGTCCCTGTGGGGCAGCCCCAGCCTCAGGCCCAGACTGCTCTGGTCTCTGGCCGACAGGGTCAGCACTACGTCCAGGGGTGGGGTCAGGGACTGATGAGAAAGGGTCACGCGGGGCTCTGCGGCCAGCGGCGGCATGGGGGAACTCCGGCTGGCCTTGCCCGGCAGGGGGACGGTGATCTGTGCCAGGAGGCGAGACTGGGGTTGCCTGGCCCGGGCCCCAGCCACTCTGAATACCTGCCCGCCGCCCACTAGGGTCCTTGGGGGCTCCCCTGGGCTGACGGCTGTCCTGTGGAGAGGCGAGAAAGCCTGAGGGAGGGTCCTGTGCTGGCCACAAAGGCTGTTGCCACGGGGACAACAGTGCCAGACCAGACATCGTCCTCCCCTCCCCGCCCCCAACTACAGCCATCATCCTGCCTACATGTGGCCCCTCAAGGCTGGTCCCTGTTCCACATCTTGAAAGTGACCCCGGCAGTGCCAGAGGTGCCAGCAGAACCACATGCGTGTGCTGCCTGTAGCTGCGCACACACCACACGCCACCCTGCGGCTCCAGAGAGGCGCTGAGCCCAGGTGGCCTCTGCTGCGCAGTGGGGCCTGGGCAGCACCCTCGGGCGGTTTCAAGGATCTCACGGGAGAACCCGGGCCCCCACCAGGGACAGAGTCCACAGCAGCCTGGCTGCCTCGCCTCGAGGGGGGCGCCGGCTCAGGTGCCAGCAGCCTGACCAGGAGCGGAGGCGCCAGTGCTCCTGACCGAGGGCCGCGACTCCACGGCAGCTGCGGCAGACGCATCCCCTGCAGCCCACCGCAGCCGGCCGGCTCCACGCAGCCAGGCCCCCGGCCCACGTGCCCGTGTGTGGTCCGCCAGACGCCGCTCAGAAACAGCCTCCCCGCTCAGGAGAGGGGGTCTCAGGGCAGATGAGGAAAAGCTTTCAAAACTCAAAGGGGGGCCGGGCGCGGTGGCTCACGCCTGTCATCCTAGCTCTCTGGGAGGCTGAGGCAGGCGGATTGTTCAAGGTCAGGAGTTCAAAACCAGCCTGAGCAAGAGCGAGACCCCGTCTCTACTATAAATAGAAAGACATTAATTGGCCAACTGATATGTATATAAAAAATTAGCCGGGCATGGTGGCGCATGCCTGTAGTCCCAGCTACTCGGGAGGCTGAGGCAGAAGGATCGCTAGAGCCCAGGAGTTTGAGGTTGCTGTGAGCTAGGCTGACGCCAGGGCACTCACTCTAGCCTGGGCAACAAAGCGAGACTCTGTCTCAAAAAAAAAAAAAAACAAAAACAAAAACTCAAAGGGGCCCGTTACCTTGAGCTCGTGGGATAAGACCGCGCTGCTCATGCTGTCGGCCTGCAGGCGGAACTCGTGCTCCCGCTTCTGCGTTTGGGATTCGAACTCCAGCAGCAGCTCCTGGAACACAGCGGGCCACGGAGAAAGGACAGTGGTGGGGACCCAGCACAGACCTCGCTGGCAGGCTTACAAGTGAGGAGTGGGCAGGACCGCACGGACGCTGCTGGGGAGGGAGAGGCTGGGGTGTGTGACACCAGCCGTGGGACAGTGCCAGCTGCACACGCTGACTTATTCCTCGGGCCCCTGTGAGCCCCACGTTTGCACGAACAGCAGGGGGCTGGCAGGGTCCGCCCCACTGAGGACGCAGATCCGTCCATTTCTCCCTTTAGTTCTGTCCGTGTCTGCCCGCACAGAGCGCAGCCAGTGAGCGTGCACGGGCTGAGAACCAGCTGCTCCAGGGCCGCACCGTGGAGCACGGGGCCCCAGAGACCACCCTTCTCTCCCAAGACCTGTTGGTTACTGCAAACAGACTCAGCTACCTGGAGGATGGGCACGGAGGGAGGCTGAACCCAACCCTGAGGTGCTGCCAGGAAGGCCTGGCACCCTCTGCCAGCCCGGGACAGACAGGAACCACACCTGTGCCCGGCCGTACACGGACAAGCTGCACCAGCACAGCTGCACACCCGAATTCTGAACACTGAGTGGGAGCCTCAGAGAAACTGCAGAAAGCACAACTGAAACATAATTTACTTTTTTACCTTTTGAAAGGCAAAAATGATGGTAAGTGTCACAGGAGTAACACTTAATAGAATCAGAATGTAAAAGTCATGGAAGGCCGGGCGTGGTGGCTCACGCCTGTAATCCCAGCACTCTGGAAGGCCAAGGCGGACAGATGGCTTGAAGTCAGGAGTTCCAGACCAGCCTGAACAAGAGCGAGACCCTGTCTCTACCAAAAATAGAAAAATTAGCCAGGCATGATGGTGTACACCTGTGTCTCAGTTACTCGGGAAGCTGAGGCAGGAAGATGGCTTGAGCCCAGGAGTTTGAGGTTGCTGTGAGCTAGGCTGACGCCACAGCACTCTAGTCCGGGCAATAGAGTAAGTAAGACTCTGTCTCAAAAAAAAAAAAAGTATTTGTTAAATGAATGAACAAATCAATAATCACTCAGTTTCTCCTCTCGTGGCTTTTAACCCTACAATTAACTTACAAGGAAAAAGACTCCCTTACATCGCAGTGTACAACTCACATATGTAATAAAAGTTACACTGCTTTCTTTTCGCGGAAGACGCGCTCGCGGCTCCGCGGAGCTGTGGTGTGCCCGCTCCTGCTCCTGACTCACCGCTGTTCGCTCTCGGCGAGGAACAAGTTGGTCAGGAAGCCGCGCTGCAGCCATGGCTTTTAAAGATACCGGAAAAACACCCGTGGAGCCGGAGGTCGAGATTCACCGGATTAGAATTACCCTAACCAGCCGCAACGTCAAGTCTTTGGAGAAGGTGTGTGCTGACTTGATCAGAGGCACAAGGAAAAGAACCTCAAAGTGAAAGGACCAGTTCGGATGCCTACCAAGACTTTGAGAATCACTACAAGAAAAACTCCTTGTGGTGAAGGTTCTAAGACTTGGGACCGCTTCCAGATGAGAATCCACAAGCGACTCATTGACTTGCACAGTCCTTCTGAGATTGTTAAGCAGATTACTTCTATCAGTATCGAACCAGGAGTGGAGGTTGAAGTCACTATTGCAGATGCTTAAATCAACTGTTTTAATAAATTGACTGCCACTTGTTAAAAATAAAAAATGAAATAAAAAAAAATAAAAGTTACACTGACTGATTCAGTTACCGTCGACTCGTGTTTCATTTTTCAAAAGAAAAATTATTATCCCCATCGAATCAATTCTACTTCTGACAAGTCAGTGATGGACACAAAGATCTTCTGAAACAAGAAACACAAAAGCAGCCCAGAGGCAACCACGAAGCTGAGGAACACACGAGACCCCAGCTCAACAGGCGAAACGAGGGACGTGGCCGCAGCACAGAGCGAGAGCACAGGGCCTGCGCCCCAGAGCCAGCACGGGCTCGGGCTGTTGCAGAACCACACTAGATAAGTGCCACCCTGGTTTCCGGCCGCAGCCCAGCTGGCCCATTAAAACACCGAGTCTCCTTCCTTCCAGGGACAGGGCTGTCACCTGACAGAACCCACATTCCCGGCTGTCTGTGCGGGGCCTGCAGTTCTGCCTGCGGACAGCTCGGGAAGCCAGCTGGGGTCACTGCCCAGCCGGCCACAGCCCTGACCGCTGCTGTCCTCCCCGTGCCACTGAGCACCCGCCGCCTGCTGGCTGGGACACCCCTCTCACTGCCAGAGTCCTCCCGAAACTCTTCTTTGGAGGTGACTTTGGTGCCACAAGACAAACGAAGCCTTGTCACTTAGTCACCATTGGTCTCTTTTTGACCACACATTTCAAGCCCCGGCTTCATGCCTAACGACCTCTGGCTGCTTCCAAAAGGGAAACCCACCCGTGCCGGATGAAGCTCTTCGGTCCCTGCGAATCCCGGAGGGAAGTCCTCTCAGGCCGTCTCGGAGGCGATCTCCAGGACACTCAGCAGGGCAGCGTCACGGAGGGAACAGCGCGCTCCCAGGGAAGGAGGGCGGCCACAGCCGGACACGGAGTCGGCTCGGGCAGGAGATGCCATGAAAGGAACACCGTGAGCACCTGAACAGGTGTCTGCCACGTCTCGCTAGACGGGGACTCTGGGCGTAAACCCGTAGGAGAATATCTTTCTTTCTTTTCTCTCTCTTTCCTTCCCTCCGCAGGGTCCCACCCTGGCGCTCAGGCTGGAGTGCGGTGGGGCAGTGGCATGACCACAGCTCACCACCTGGAGTGCGGTGGGGCAGTGGCACGACCACAGCTCACCACAGCCTCAAACTCCCGGGCTCAAGCACGTAGCGGGTCTTCCCACCAAACCCAGCACAGCTGAGTCTCATGGCGGTGCGGGCTGAGTTCCAAGAACACCAAGGAGAAATATGGTCACAGATTTAAATGCTGTCAATTAAAACATCTATATTTAAATTATAACTATTATTGTTTTGTTGAAAGAAATACAGGTACCATAATTTGAGTTTCAAATTATTTTCTGCAGTAAATAACTCAAGTTTTTTTTAATAGTACCTTTTTTCTAAAATAAATAAGGAAATGTTTAATCATTTCTGAGGTGTAGTGGTTAATTTTATATGTCAAATGACTGGGCTGGCCGGGCGCGGTGGCTCATGCCTATAATCCTAGCACTCTGGGAGGCTGAGGTGGGGGGATCGCTTGATGTCAAGAGTTACAGACCAGCCAGAGCAAGACCAAGATGCGGTCTCTACCTAAAAATAAGAAAAATAGCTGGGCGTCGTGGTGCACACCTATAGTCCCACCTTCTTGGGAGGCTGAGGCAAAAGCATCGCTTGAGCCCAGGGGTTTGCGGTTTCAGTGAATTATGACAATGCCACTGCCCTCTACGCAGGGTGACAGAGCGAGAGTCTGTCTCAAAAAAAAAAAGACTGGGCTAAGGGATGCTCAGGGTGTGTCTGTGAGGATGTCAGCGTCAGCAGGCTGAATAAAGATCCGCCCTCCCCAGTGTGGGTGGCCCCCTCCAGCCATGGAGGGCCCAAATACTACTAAAGAGTGAGGCAGGGTGAATACGCTCTCTCTGCCTGAGCTGAGACACCAAGCTTCTCCTGCCCTGGGAAATCAGAGTGCCGGGTTCCCAGGCCTTTGCACCCAGAGTGAATGACACCGCCAGCTCTCCAGGTTCTGCCACCTGCCGATGGCAAACCATGGGACTTCGCAGCCTCCATAACTGCACCTGTCAGTTCCTGCGACACATCTCCTCTTATGTGTATCTACATATCTCCTGCTAGTTCTGCTTCTTTGAGAATTCTGACGGATCCGTGAGGAAAGAGAACACTGTGGGGGTGACTTCAGAGGAAGATTTAGACACCCCGTCACCTCTCCCTACAGACCACCCCAGAGTGGAAACCTGTCTCAATCATTCTACTTTTAGGCCAGGCATGGTGGCTCATGCCTGTAATCCTAGCACTCTGGGAGACCGAGGCGAGAGGATCGTTCGAGGCCAGGAGTTCAAGATCAGCTTGAGCAAGAGCGAGACCCTGTCTCTACTAAAAATAGAAAGAAATTAGCAGAACAACTAAAAATATATAGAAAAAATTAGCCAGGCATGGTGGCGCATGCCTGTAGTCCCAGTACTCGGGAGGCTGAGGCAGGAGGATCACTTGAGCCCAGGAGTTTGAGTTTATTGTGAGCCAGGCTGACGCCACGGCACTCACTCTAGCCTGGGCAACAGAGTAAGACTCTGTCTCAAAAAAAAAAAAATAATTCTACTCTTACTCCCGTGGACAACATATTCAACAAACAAAATGGCATTTTTTTCCCCTTAACTTTGTACAATCTAAGTTTCAAAGAAGACAGGCAGGGAGAACACACAGGAAAGGACCAACCCCCGGAAGCTCTACCTGTCTCTGCAGAGCAAGTTCTCCGTCGAGTTCCTCGAGTTTTCTCTCTAGCCTCCATTTCAGATTTTCATATTGTTCCCGATGGTGGTCGATCTCACCATTCTTGTCACTGCGGTAATAAAACACGTGTTAAGAAAAGCCACTCTGGGCCGGGCACAGTGGCTCACGCCTGTAATCCTAGCACTCTGGGAGGCCAAGGCAGGCAGATTGCTTGAGGTCAGGAGTTCAAAAACAGCCTGAGCAAGAGCAAGACCCCGTCTCTACTATAAAATAGAAAGAAATTAATTGGCCAACTAATATATAGAGAAAAAATTAGCCGGGCATGGTGGCGCATGACTGTAGTCCCAGCTACTTGGGAGGCTGAGGCAGGAGGATCGCTTGAGCCCAGGAGTTTGAGGTTGCTGTGAGCTAGGCTGACACCATGGCACTCACTCACTCTAGCCTGGGCAACAAAGTGAGACTCTGTCTCAAAAAAAAAAAAAAAAAAAAGCCACTCTGAACATTCACTGAATGCATATGTTTGCAAGTGGCTTTACACACAGAGCTGGTGCTTCCCGTTTGCAGGGCTGGCTTCAGTGGGGCCCAGAGAGCGGCAGACTCCCACCTCCACCTGGACCCTGCTACACCCAGAGAGCAGCAGACTCCCACCTCCACCTGGCCCCTGCTACACCTGAGCGAGGTGACTGCCTGTAAAAGAGAAAATTAAATAGGGTCTACAGTCTCACAACATAAAACCCAAAACATCCAGGCTACAACAAAAAATCACACGGCATGCCAGAACCAGAAAGGTGTCACTCTGAATGGGAGAAGACAGCCATCAGATGCCAGCGCCAAGACAGCGCAGACGCTGACATCACTGAAGCAGTCACCATCAAAACGCTTCAACAAGCAATCTAGTAAAACAGATGGGAAAACAGAAAATCTCAGCAAAGAGGAAGATACAACGAAGAATGCTGTGGACATCTGAGAACTGCAAAGCTCAATAACCGAAGACTCGCTGGACGGGCTCGAGGGCAGGACGCACGTGGAGGAGGGATAACTTCGGAAAACTTGAAGACCGAACGACAGAAGTGACCCCGTCTGAGCAGCAGAGAGGAAATACACTGAAGAAGAAGAGAAGCAAACAGGGTGCAGGGACTGTGGGACACTCACGCCCTCAGAGTCCCGGAACGGTGTCTGAACACAGCTGAAAACGTCCCAGGTGTGGAGAGGAGGAACCGGCGAAGACCTGAGAAGGCTCTTCACAAAATAACGTAAAGCACTTTCAAAAGGGTGCTTTATACCTATGAGCACATTTGGGACACGATCAAAAAATAATAATAATAATAAAAAAATTTTAATTAAAAAAAAAACGCTCTCAGGAACAGCTATGAACAAGTTAGCACTTGCGTGGAGGACGACTGGGCCGCAACTGTCCAACGCGCCCGCCCTGCGCTGAGCGTAGAGGAGAAGCAGCCCGGACGCCACCGTCTGCGCGGGGCTGGGGAGAAGCCGACTGCAGTTCAACTCTCGGCTCCGTCCCTGGTCCCCGGGAGGGGGTGTGTGGGTGAACATCACCGAGAGGCCCTGCCTAGGGAACGACCACTGACCGGCACGCGCCACCTGCACCGGCAGACGCTGCAGAGGACCCACCAACGCCCCGGGCTTCCCTCAGGACAGTGACTCCTGGGACAGGCACGTCTGTTGCAGGGACCCTGGAAGCTACACCTGTGGGTTGTTACGGGAGATGCCGACCCCGGCAGGTCAGAGCGGCACTGCACTTTCGTAGGGGTGGCTTCGGCAGGGCCCAGAGGGGAGCAGACTCCCCTTGCACCTGACCTGTCTGTCACAGAAGGTCCCGCTGCTGAACAGCAATGTCTGCTGCTGTCCTGCTGGCCAGCTCACGGCCATCTGGGAGCCTCTGAGCAAACAGGCTGGGCACACACAACAGGGGACCACCTAGCCATTCAGAAAGATGTGGCAGAACCCAACAAACCAACACAAAGAAAAGATGCCAAAAACAGACCAGGACCTGCCAGAAGCAAGTTCCAGAACGGCGAGTGCGGGAGGCTCTATCTGGGACCCAGAGACACCACAGCAGACCACCCGTGGCGGTTTCCATTTTGACGTTTCGCTTCATCATCTTCTATGAGTTTCCATAAGACTTTCTAAATGACTTTCTATAAGAACAAGTTACTTTTGTGATTTTAAAAAGTGTCTAAATCAGCCAGATGTGGTGGCTCACACCTGTAATTCTAGCACTCTGGGAGCCAGATGACGGTGGATCACTCAGTCAGGAGTTCGAAACCAGCCTGAGCAAGAACGAGACCCCGTCTCTACTAAAAATAGAAAGAAATTAAAAAAAAAAAGAAAGAAATTAATTGGCCAACTAATATATATAGAAAAAATTAGCTGGCATGTGGCAATGCCTGAGTCCCAGCTACTTGGGAGGCTGAGGCAGGAGGATTGCTTGAGCCCAGGAGTTTGAGGTTGCTGTGAGCTAGGCTGACACCATGGCACTCACTCACTCTAGCCTGGGCAACATAGCGAGACTGTGTTCAAAAAAAAAAATGAAAAAAAAAAATAAAACGTGTCTAAAATGCTCTCCACATTAGAACAAGAAACCATATAAGAAACACGCAGTATGTTGTTAAGTGAGATCAGAAACTGCCGTGTGCTCCCCTCTAGTGTCTGTGCACACGCACTTCATACGTGGGGAGACAGCACAGAGACACACTCTAATCGCTAACGTGATGCAGCGAACACATGCATGTCTCTTCTGAGATGCGGGGGTGGGAGTAATGTTTTAAATGAAGACTGTTTTATCAAACTCTCAAGGCCACTGTGGGCAGGTGTAGCTGAGGACGCCGGACACGTGGGCGAGTTCCCGGGGCCCAGCCACAGGACCCCACAGTGAAGGGGTCTGGTCGCTACATCAACTTGCCTGAAGTCAGCTCGTTCAGATGTGAAGTGGATATATTATTCACATTAAAATAAGCTTGAATGTTGTACTAAAATAATACAGATTTGTATAATAGTTAATGAAACAGGCCGGGTGCGGTGGCTCAAGTCTGCAATCCTAGCACTCTGGGAGGCCAAGGCGGGAGGATCACTCAAAGTCAGGAGTTCGAAACCAATGTAAGCAAGAGCGAGACCTCGCCTCTACTAAAGGTAGAAAGAAATTAATTGGCCAACTAATATATATAGAAAAAATTAGCCGGGCATGGTGGCGCATGTCTGTAGTCCCAGCTACTCGGGAGGCTGAAGCAGGAGGATCACTTGAGCCCAGGAGTCTGAAGTTGCTGTGAGCTAGGCTGACGCCACACACTCTAGCCCGGGCAACAGAGTGAGACTCTGTCTCAAAAAATTAATTAATTAATTAAACGAATTCCAAACATTTAAACCAGCTTCTAACCACTTCAGAGCTGTGTCAGAGCCCAGGAGAAGACACCCAGGGCACTGCCTTGTTTACATGCGCTCAGCAAATACTCACTCAGAGGTCATCACACACGCGGCCAGGAGACCGACCCGCCCTGGTGGCCTGGAGTCTGCAGCCTGGGACGGGGGATGGCACCCAGGGCATAGGGACGGGGGCGGGAGGCCTCGGCCGGGGGCCCCTCACCTGTGGACGCGCTCCAGCTCCAGGCGAAGCTCCTGAAACCTCAGCTGGTGCTGCTGCTGCAGCTCCTCCATCCGCCGGGCCTCCTGGGCGAGCGCCTGCTTCAGCTTGGCCACCTCTATCTTGAGCTCGCTCACCTCCGCCTGCCTGGCCTCCTCCTGGGCCCTGGCCTGGGCGAAGGCGGCGTCATAGCGCTCCAGCTCCAGGTCCCGCTCCTCCAGCACCTGCAGGTTGTAGACGAAGTCTTCCTGCAGGCGCCGCAGCTTCCTCTGCGCGTCCTCCAGCCGGCTCTGCGTGTCCTGCAGGGCCGCCTCCTGCAGCTGGGTGCGCTGGGCCTGCAGCGCCCGCCACTCCTCCTCCTTGCGGGCCAGCAGCTCGTCCAGGGCCTGCTCCGTGCACGGCGGCAGCATGGCGGCGGCTGCGGCAGAGAGAGGCAGGCCTGGGTCCGTGATGGACGACCCTGGCTTTCCTTCCACATGCCCCCCTCTGGCCCCCTCTCTACAGCGACCGAGGTCACACCCTGAGTTCTAGCGCGGGTAAAGCCCAGACCTCAAGGGCTCTTTCCGCCCCATCCTCATCCCGCGGCACACGGAGCTGGGGGGCGGGAAAGAGGGGAAACGTGGCTGCCGGGCTGCCAGACCTGGGTTGTATAAAACAGCTTCAGGAAGCCTCTGTTTGTGCAGGTGAGAAGACAGAGGCTGCTAAGCAGCTGTGCTAGGACTGAAACGCAGGTCCGCCCCTCAGAAAGAACCAGCGCCCCTTCCCACCCAGCGCCCTACTCCTGCAGCCGGGGCCCAGGCTTCTGGAATATTCACCACCAAAGAGTAGGTTTCTCTGTTTGTTTATTTCCAATCCATCGTGGATTGACATTTTGGTAAAACAACAAAAATGAAATGCTAAACAAAATTAAACAAAGATATACAAGTCCAATTTTTTCATTATTAGATTCAATAGTGTAAAACTTAGTGACACTGCTAACAAGTATCTAAACCCCCACGCCCATCTCTGCGTATCTACCGAGGAAATAGCCCTGCGGAGCAGGGACTGGGGATGGCCACGACCACACCTGAGGGATCTCCGCACCAGGGCACGCTAGAGGCTGTCGCCTGCCTGCGCGCACTCTTAGCATGCCCTGTGTTGCTGGAGGATCCCTCACGGTGTTGGTCGTGGGCCATCCCCGGTCCCCAGTGCCCATGCTCCGCTCTCCAGCGCAGAGAAATATGGCCTCCCGTCGCGTTTCTGGGGTGTCGCAATGAACGCAAATGGAGGACTGTTGCCAGTTTTAGATACTTTCACTCTCCATCTGAGATAATAAGGGACACACCACCAATGGAAAACCATAAACGTACCACCAGATCTCTGGGGGATACCCCCGTCGGCCAGGCGACAGGGCCAGGTGTGTCATGCTTGGGGCACCGAGCCGTCCTGTCATCCTTCTGAGGAGGACGGTGCTTAACCCATGCCCTTCCCTGAGGGTTCTTTTCCAGAAGGGTGGGACAGAGATCTGAGGAAGGCACCTGGCAGTGACCCTCTGTTGTCATGTGTGCATCCAAAAAGGAATGTGACGTGTCTGATTCTTTTTTTTTTTTTTTTTTGAGACAGAGTCTCACTCTGTTGCCCGGGCTAGAGTGCTGTGGCGTCAGCCTAGCTCACAGCAACCTCAAACTCCTGGGCTCAAGTGATCCTTCTGCCTCAGCCTCCCAAGTAGCTGGGACTACAGGCATGTGCCACCATGCCTGGCTATTTTTTCTATATATTTTTAGTTGGCCAATTAATTTCTTTCTATTTTTAGTAGTAGAGATGGGGTCTCGCTCTTGCTCAGGCTGGTTTCAAACTCCTGGCCTTGAGCGATCCGCCCACCTTGGCCTCCTAGAGTGCTAAGATTATAGGCGTGGGCCACCGAGACCGGCCACATATCTGATTCTGTATAAGTGGGTTTGTCTTCTTTAAGAAGAGAAATGTCTCAGGTCACCTCAACTCACCCGCTCAGGACACATTTACAGAGAACCATCTGGGTGAGCGGTGGCACAGGACACACTGGGGAAGGGCTCTAAGGAGCGTCTGCTTTACTCAGACCCCAGTACCCGGGTTAGCTCAGCGAAGAGCAAACATGACAGTCAGAAACAGGAAGAGAACCCAAGGGTTTTGGCTTTTTGTTGCGTTACTTTTACGCCAACTCTAGAATCATTAAGCCAGCAGCCAGTGACTAAAATCAGCAAGATTACCACTATCTAGAGACACAGGTTCACTTCACTCCTAAAATTACTAGTAACAAAAACCAACCACAAAAAATTAGCTACGTAGTCAAAAGTATTACTGTAACGTCTTGGCAACAAAATGGAAAAAATTAAGAAGAGAAATTGTCAAAATGGTACGGGCTAGCATTTGGAGAATCCCGAAGCATCCATCAGGACTAAAGAAACAGTCAGTGCACGTCACAGGAGAAAACGTGTCCTGCAAACTGGGGTGCCAGGTGGGCGACGGGACACCTTCGCTCCTCTGAGCGCAGCATTGACAGCGTTAGAACGCGAGGGTGAGTAGGGAAGCCCACGACAGACGCCAGGACCCACGACGCCAAGCACAGGCACCGGCGGCCCACATGATGACAGGCATGCCCTGCGTAACTACGTTTGTTTGTTTTCTGATTTTTTTATTTCAGCATATGACGGGGGTATAAATGTTTAGGTTACATACATGGCCTTTGCCCCACTGGAGTCAGAGCTTCAAGCATGTCCGTCCCCCCCCCAATGGTGCACACCGCACCCATTAGGTGTAAATATGCCCATCCCCTCCTGCCCTCCACCTGCCCAACACCTGATGAATGGTGCTACTATATGTGCACGTAAGTGTTGGTCAGTTAATACCAACTTGATGGTGAGTACATGTGTGTGATGCTTGTTCTTCCATTCTTGTGATACTTCATGTGGTGGAATGGGCTCCAGCTCTATCCAGGATTAATACAAGAGGTGTTAGATCACCATTGTTTTTTTGGTTGCTTCTTGAAGTAAGAACTTCATGGTGTTTACATATACCAAGTCATTAAGTTCCACTGCAGGGTATTTTGATGGCAGCTTGGGTTATCCACAATCTTTTGCCAATTGTGAAAATTTGTGCTGGCTTATATAACATCCAGTGCAGGTTGGGGTTTTTTTTTTTGGTTTTGTTTTTTTTCTTTTTTTGAACAGAGTCCACTCTCGTTTGCCCCCGGCTAACGAAACAGGTTTGCTGTGGCAATAAAGCCAGCTCAACAGAGCAACCTCAAAACTCCTCGGGTTTCAAGTGATTCCGTCTGCCTTCAGCCTCCAGTACCTGGGACTAACAGCATGCCACCATCAAGCCGGCTAATTTTTTTCCTATATACTGTTTTACACAAGTTTCTTCTTGGCCAATTAATTTCTTTCTATTTTTAGTACAGACAGGGTCTTGCTCTTGCTCAGGCTGGTCTCAAACTCCTGAGCTCAAACAATCCTCCTGCCTCAGCCTCCCAGAGTGCTAGGAGTACAGGCATGAGCCACCACGCCCGGCCCAGATGTTTTTTTTAATAGAATGTCTTTTTTTCCTTTGGGCAGGTGCCCAGTAATGGGATTGCTGGGTTAAATGGTGGTTCCACTTGTGTTTCTTCGAGGCATCTCCATGTTGCTTTCCACAGAGGTTGTACTAGTTTGCAGCCCCACATAACTACATCTGGTCTAGGAAGAACTACACATATGACAGTGGTCCCTTAAGATTAATACACCGTATTTTTATGGCACCTTTTCTATGCTTAGTTACACCAATACCTACCATCGTGTTACAGTTCCTACGTTCTTGGAAGTCCAATGCGCTATCCATTGCGCAACGGAGCCACCCTAGTTCCTACGTACTTGGGACAGCCGCGTGCTGCGCAGGTTTGGCGCCTAGGAGCGGCAGGCCCTGCCACACAGCCAAGCGTGCAGCAGGCTGTGCCCTTCAGGTGTGTGAGCGCGCTCTGTGAGGTCTGCACAGCGAGGAAGACTCCTAACAATGCACTTCTCAGACCACGTCCCATCGTCTGCTAAGTTCCGAGCAACACGTCCCACTGGGCACTGCTGGGGGGCAAAGCTCGAGGAGAGGGGACGAAACTCACGCCTGCATCTTTCATAAGGGGAAGGGGCGATGCCTCAGGGGAAGCAAACGAACGTCAATCTTGGCGTTGGCATGGAGATCTGAAACAATGTCTCAATGCAGGTCTTCCTGTAAGAGCCACCACCGCTCACACAGGCCAGGCATGGCAGCCTTTCTACGTAAACAGCAGCCAGTGAATAACTGGGGCTTCCTAAGCCACACGGTTTATGTCACAACTGCTCAACCCCAAGCGGAAGTGGCCACAGACATCAGCTGGGTTTGGCCCACAGGCCTGCTCTGCCAGCCCTTGCGTGGGATAAGCTTTCATCACTGCCTGTGTGACAACAGGATACAGAGTTTCTTTTTTTTTTCCTTTGAGACAGAGTCTCACTCTGTTGCCCGGGCTAGAGTGCCGTGGCATCAGCCTAGCTCACAGCAACCTCAGACTCCTGGGCTCAAGCGCACCACCATGCCTGGCTAATTTTTTCTCTATATATTTTTTTAGTTGGCCAGCTAATTTCTTTCTATTTTTAGTAGACACAGGTTCTCGCTCTTGCTCAGGCTGGTTTCGAACTCCTGACCTTGAGCGATCCTCCCGCTTTGGCCTCCCAGAGTGCTAGGATTATAGGCGTGAGCCACCGCGCCCAGACGATGACACAGTTTCTTATGGCTGGTCCCAGCATCCCCCAACCCTTTAGGGGTCCAAGTACGAGCTCAATCTGAACACAAACATCCACCCACAACTCTCCTCTGGTGCCCACACAGGGTGCCACTTCGTGGCCTCAAAGAGCCATGTCCAGTGGGCGGATGGGCACACGCACTTCCCGCCCAGCGGGACAGGGACAGAGTGCCACTGCCGGAACAGAAAGAAGGCCTAGCCTCACTTCAGGGCTGGTTGTGCAAAGTCTCACGTCCCAGAAGAAAAGGGCACAAGGGCACAGCCAGGCCAAACACCAGCCAAGAGGAACTGGAGAAGAGTAGGCGACGGCCCGTTAAGAAAGGACTGGTCGCCTGTAATCCTAGCACTCTGGGAGACCCAGGAGGGAGGACCGCTCAAGGTCAGGAATTCAAAACCAGCCTGAGCAAGAGCAAGACCCCATCTCAACTAAAAATAGAAAGAAATTAGCTGGCCAACTAAAAATATATAGAAAAATTACCCAGGTATGGTGGCGCATGCCTGTAGTCCCAGCTACTCGGGAGGCTGAGGCAGGAGGATTGCTTGAACCCAGGAGTTTGAGGTTGCTGTGAGCTAGGCTGACGCCAGGGCACTCTAGCCTGGGCAACAGAGTGAGACTCTGTCTCAAAAGAAAACAAAACAGAGGGGACTGGTCTGCAGAGCACGATCGCTGGAGGCACCGGAACTCCTGCAGCGGGCTGAGGTAGCGCTTCTCCACCCAGGCTCTGGAGCAGGCTGGCCTCCTCATCCCCGTCACACACTCTCCCTGGTGGAGCTCAGCCGTGGGGCCCCACCCAGCACCCCACGCCCCTCTTGTCCGCCTTGGCCTCCCCAGACTGGCCGCTCCTGGAAGCTGCCGCGAGTCCATCCGTCACCAGAGTGGACGGGGTCGGGACCAAGCTGACGCATCCCCTGTGCTGCCGCCTCCATCCCCCAGCGGCTCGTTCAGTGGCGCCACCACCCACCCGAGCAGACGAGCTTGGATCTCACACAGCCCCTTGGCCACCGCTAGGTCTCACTGCACGAGCCTGTCCGCTCCACACTTGCCCTTTCGTGGCTGCCAAAGGAATCTATTTTTAAAAAATGCCTAACCACGGCCGGGCGTGGTAGCTCTCATCTGTAAAGAAAACATTAGCCAGGTGTGAAGGCGCACACCCGTAGTCCCAGTGACTCGGGGGGCTGAGGCAGGAAGATCACTTGAGCCTGCATTTCAAGGCTGCAGTGAGCTATGATGATCCCACTGAACTCCAGCCTGGGTGACAGAGAGAGACCCTATCTCAAAAACAAAACAAAACAAAAAACACACAAAAAAACCCAAAACAAAACGCCTAACCCCGACTTCCCATTCCACTGAGAACTGCTGGGCCCCCAGGAACCTGCCCTCCACTGCTGCATCACTCAGAGCGGGGCCACCCTGAGGGTCCCGTGCTGGCATCCATCCCACAGGTGCCCCTCTGCAGGGAGGCTCCTTCTGTCACTGCAACCTCCACCCAAGTACCACTCCAGGGAAGCCTTCCTAACCTGCCACCCCAAGCTGGTACGAGGCCAGCACCCCAGCGTCTGTGTACTAAGCTCCACCATCTGGCAGAGCCTTGGCCACAGGAACATTTTGTATGTACGGGCCATGCAAACACCTGTGCACACTCTCAGGGAAAGAATCAGAATACTAGCAAATACGCATTAAGTGACACCAACGTCACTGTGATCCTCAATGACTCAGAACCTCTCCCTCCGTGTCCGTGAGTCATCACTACGGTTCTCTGCAGAGGAGCACCCCGAGGTCAGCAAGGTCAGTGGGCCTCTCCTCTGAGGACCGCCCACAGCGCCCTGTGCTCCCGGCCACCGGGCTCGCCTCTTTATTGTGCTGTTCACACAGCCACCAGCAGGAGTCACTCTTCTGATCACATGACATCCTGCTTAAAATCTGCCTGTGGCTGCTGGTCATTTTCAGAATAAAGTCCAACCTCTTTGGCACAACATGTAAGAGCCCTGGGATGGGGCGGGGCCTGCATGGCTCACCCGACCTCCCACTGGACCTCCCACTGGATTTCCCGCGGCTGCTAACAGGCCCAGAATGTTACACTCCGTCCGTTTAGCGGGAAAGTTTCTTCCCAATAGGTCTTCAGGACTCAGCGGGCCACCCTCTGTGGGAGTGTCCAGAGTTCTAGAGTAAGATGGGTGTGCCCTGGGGTTCCGTGCTCTGCACAGAGGGGCAGCTCAGTCAGTACACAGCAAGGGCTCAACCCACCAGCCCGTGAGAGAGCCCAGCTCCTCCCCGGCTTCATCAGTCAGCCGCACAAGACCCAGCGCGAGGGACCCTGGGTAAACCCTCCCAAGCCAAGGGCGTGTAAGCCCACACTCACCGCTCCTCTCCTACTTACCCCGTCCCAGAACAGCCTGCCCTGCTTTGGCACAAATCCCACCAAAGGATGATCCCCAAAGCCCCGAGGCTGAGATTAACCAGCTTTAAACATCACAGATTCAGAGTCTGGACCCGATCTGTCTGTCAGCCAGCAGGTGTCCCCAGAAAGCACCAGGTTTTCAGGAAGACCACACAAAGCTTCTGGGGAGCTGCTGCAGAGATCTCTGGAGAGGTAGGGACCCACCATCAACAAGACATGTGCGATCTTCAAGGAGAACCATGGGGTCAGGATGTCTGCACCCAGCAGGGAGTGGAACAGTGCAGGGCAGGGCATCTAATCACTTTGATTTCCTCATTTTTAAAATACTGAGCTTTCTAACCCTTTCTGATATAAAGGGATGTTGTAAGTTTACCTGTCCAGTGTGAAAAGCACTTGGAAATCACTGGGTTTAGAAAGATGAAAATAACCCCTCATGACAGCCATGGTTTCCCACACATAAAAACGTGCAGCCCCACCTAAAAGACATACTTCAGGCCTGGCACAGTGGCTCACACCTGTAATCCTAGCACTCTGGGAGGCCGAGGCGGGAGGATCGTTGGAGCTCAGGAATTCAAGACCACCTGAGCAAGAGCGAGACCCCCTTCTCCACTAAAAATAGAAAGAAATTAGCTGGACAACTAAAAATATATAAAAAAAATTAGGCGAGCATGGTGGTGTATGCCTGTAGTCCCAGCTACTTAGGAGGCTGAGGCAAAAGAATCGTTTGAGCCCAGGAGTTTGAGGTTGCTGTGAGCTATGATGATGCTACCACACTCTAGCCTGGGGAACAGAGCAAGACTCTGTCTCAAAAAAATAAATAAAATTAAAAAAACCCAAAAAACCTAGACACTAAACGTAACTTTATTACAAATGAATGCCATAAACACACTAAAAGCAACTTTGGAAAACAATATTTTTACCAGATATTGTAAGGATAAAAATGAAAATAACTGCACACAAATAGTATGCTCTAGTCAGGAAGTTTGTTTTTCACAAGAATATGGATTGGCTGTTCTGAAACTACCTTATATGTATTCTAGGACTGTGCAAACAATATATTGAGGAGGACGGATGCCAGAGTTAGAGTGATAAGGGAAAGGCAGAATGGACCCTGTGGTAATGCATTAGAGCTGGATTAGAATCATCATAAACTCAGTTTTTAATATACACACAGACCCAGAGATGCATAAATAGATACTAATGGGTACAGTGTATACAAATATATATTTCCCAGCCCTGCCCACTGAGAAAGTAAAGAAACAATGATGACCCAGTAGCCACGAGCCCACCTCGAACCTCGATCTTATCTTGCAAACACCACCTTCCGGGGTGAGGAACCCGCGGCCTCCAGATCCCCAAGTGCGGCCCCACGACCAACTCCAAACTTCACAGAACAACTCCCTGAACCTTTTGAAAGGATTTGTTCTGTAAAATGTGGATGCAGTCAAAAGGCTGCACTCAAGGATCCGGAAGGCCCCAGGAAGCAGGCACGTGACAAACGCGCCACAGACGGGAGAGCGGCGACTGCCCGCTGGCAGCGGAGTCCTTCCCCACGTCGCATCCGGGCCGCGGGCAGCTCCCCGGGCGTTCACGCTCCGTCCGCACCCGCTTCCCCGCGAAGGGTCCCCGAGGCGTCCCCTCCGGCCCGAAGCTCGGCCAGGGTCCACCTTAGGCCCCAGAGAGCGCGCTGCGCCGACGGGACTCGAGTCCCGGGATTTTCCACGGAAAAGCGGCGCCTCCCACGCCCCCGCCGCGCCCTCCCGCATCGCGGGCCGCGGAGAAACACCCCCGCGAGCCGCGCCCGCCGTGCCCCGCCCCGCCAGGCCGCCCGCGTCTCACCCCGAACGCCCACGGAGCAGCTTCCAGGCGGACTACGTTGCCATAGCGACCCGGGTGCATCGGCCGCCGTCGGCGTGCGCTCGGTACGGCGCTCCGGTCCCGCCGGCCGGAAACGGGAGCCCCGGCGCTGGGTTCCGCCTTGCGCTCAGGCGCACCGGGTCACGTGGGGGGTCGCCGGCGGACCCGACTTCACGCTGCCGCCAATTAGGCCCCTGGCGGACTTCCTCACCGACAGCCCGGCGACCTCAGGACGCGAGACACCTCTCCCCCAACTGGGCCGGGGGTCCCCAAGGCGCGAGCTTCCTGAGGCCGCCCGGCCCTGAGCCCCAAAGGAGTGGCCTGAGCTCGCCCTGGTGGCTCCGATAGGCCCGGGGGTGGCGGGAAGGGCTGGGGGCGCCGGGGCTGTACGTGAGCGGTGGGGGGCGCTGCATCGGGGACGGGGCGTCACGGAGTCCTCCCCCTGGCGGCCGTGGCCCCCAGGCGTTGGCGCTGCCACGGGCTCGTCGGGACCTGAGTGGGCCCCGGGGCCCCTCTGCGTGGGCTTGTCTGGCCCGGATTAGAGAACTGGGAGGCGGTTAGGCCCGGCTCTGGGCCCCGGCCCAGTCGCAGGCTCCCCCAGCCCCACCAGCACATGGGAAGCTTGTTCTCAGGCACAGCCGTTCCCAACCGTTCAGATCCTCAAAAAGGGCGCTGTTTTACTTATCCAGTTTACAGAGGGATAAACTGAGGCCCGGCCCTGGGCCGGAAGCTTCCCGTGCTCACCTGCACACCTCAGTGAGCACTTTTGCATGGGGGCTGGGAGGGAGCGAGTCAGAGAATCCCCTGGTGGGGGCAATATTGGGGGTCTGACGCCATCAATCACCCTGCATTAGCGCCCCTGGGCTACTCCTCTCCATGCTCTTCCTCCCCCCAACCACGCTGTAGCCAGTCTCGGACTCACACACGGTTCTGCCTCAGGGCCTAAGGCTGTGTTGCCTCTGCCTGGACCCCCGGCCCCATCCTAGCTCCTGGTCCTGGCCCTTCTCAGTGTCTGCGGTCAGCGGTGCCATCAGGGCTTGTCACTCCATTAAGAGAGGAGGCAAGGCCCCGCCACCCTCACCCGCAGGGCAGTGCTGGTGTTGATGGGCCATGGGTGGGATCTTGGCTGGTCCCTGCGTCAGCTCCAGGAGGAGACGCAACCAGAAGGGTGCCCACACCCCTGCCCCAGCCCACCCTGGGAGCTGCCCTGCCCCATGTCCACAAAGGTGGGCACCAGGCAGGAGAGGTTGCGTGGAGCTTGCCTGAGCATGAGTGCCTGAGAGCCTGGTTCTGTCTCCTGGCTCCACATGCCTCTGTTTCCTCACCTGTAAAGTGGAGATCTGCAAGAGCCCATGTGTTACAGACAGAACTGTGTCCCCAAAAATGCATATATTGAAGCCCTAACTCCCAATGTGACTGTTTAGAGTTGGAGCCTGCAAGGAGGTCGTTCAGGTAAAATGATGTTGCGAGGGTGGGTTCCCGATCCAGGGGACTCGTGTCCTTACAGGAGGAGGAAGAGAGACCAGGACTGAGCACAGGGAAAGGCCACATGAGGACGCAGGGAGAAGGTGCTGTCTGCAAGCCAAGCAGAGGCCTCAGGAGAAACCAGCTGCCGGAGCCTGATCTTGGACATCCAGACTCCAGGATAAATGTCTGCTGCTTACGACGCTCGGCCTGTGGCGTGCAGTTATGGCAGCTGGAGCGGACTGATACAGCACGTCTTGGTCAGCGTGCTTGGAACCCTGCCCGCAGTCACTCCTGCAGCGGAGCCACAGGAACAGGGAGTGCCACAGTTGGGGCCTGGTCCCCAAGCTTTTCTCTGGAGCCCCATGAGTTTGAGTTGGGGTGCCCCCAGCTGAGCGTCTCAGTCCTGGAGCTGCCCCCTTGGCTCAGGCTCAAGGCCACACCTCACTGCACCATCCTCCCCCAGGCAGTCCCTTGCCCAGGGGGCCTGCCTGCACCCCTAGATTCCCAGGAACACAACTGGAGAGGGCTGCCCCTGGCTATCCCCTTTGGCCTCCAGGAAACTTTGCCCTTCCCTTCAGCACTTCCTACAGTCCCCCAGCCTGCAGCAGGCCCTTCCTCTAAGCCCTGTGGCATCCCATCACTTCCCTTCCCATGCTCCCCAGCTGGGCTCTAACTGGCCACCCTCTTAGTGCCCCCCGCTGGGAGCTGGCCAAGGCGGACACACTTGTCTCATTCCCAAAAGGCCAGCATCCTGGAGCTACAGAGCAGAGAACCTCAAACTGGCATTTTATTCTTGTCACAGTTCTGGAGAAAGCAAAATGTCGGCCAGGCCACATCCTTCCAGAGGCTCTAGGGGAGAATGTCCCACCCCTTCCAGCTTGTGGTGGTGGCCAGCAGTCCCGGTGTCCTTGGCTGCAGCCTCATCACTCCAATCCCCGCTCAGCCCTTGCGTGGCTTTCTCCCCTGTGCTTCTGCCTTCACCTGCCACTTCCTGGGACACTGTCACGGTGGAACGGGGCTTGACTCTATGTTTGGGGGGCCCCTTCCCTGGGGCCTCTGCTGGGCTAACAGTCCCCAGATCTGGCCCCCCCAGGCTGCCCTGCAATCACCCTCATCACAGACGCAGGAGGTGAGGGCCCGGGGCCTGGGCTGTCCTGCCTGACCCAGAGCAGATGTCACACGCATCTGGGCGGCAGGCTGCCTCAGCGCCGAGTGGCATGAACAAAGAGTGGTGGGAAGGACAAAAGGCCATGGCTCCGGGTGCTGGGCGTGGGCTGACCTTGGTGGCTGCAGACTGAACACTGGGAGCCCCAGGGGCTGCCCAATGAGGCCTGGCCCCAACCACTTGTGACTCAGGGTCCTTCCTCTGATTTTCACCCACAGGGCTACAGTGCTGGTGGCTGACCTCGCCATGGAAGGCCTCTTGTGGGGGTCCTACAAGCACAGGGACCTGGGACAGGCGTGGGTGGGGGACTGTGCCTGGGCACCGCCCTGCATGGGCTGCAGCGCGTCACTTCCCCTCCAATTTAGGAAACACACCGCGTCAGGCCTGAGGGGGCAGCTTCTCCGTCTGCCCAGCTCCCAGGCCCTGGGGACAGGAGGGGAGCCAAGAAGTGAAAGGGGCCATGGAGGCCGGGTTGCCCCCGCTCCCCAGGCCTCCGTGTCATCATGGCTTCCAGATGGACGGCGGAGGGGGCCCAGAACTTTGGGGAAGCTCCCTGCTGGGGTCCTGGAGAAAGGGGGACCTGGTGGGGGGAGTTCAGAGGGAGACGCCGCCCCCGCCCTGTGCCACATGAACCAGGGCTGCCCCGTGAACAGTGCCACAGAGACGTGTTGGCTCTGGGCAGGGGCAGGGTGGCTGCCATGGGGAAGAGGACAGCCCTCCGGAAGGGACAGGCAAGACCAGCCTCATCCCAATGGGACCGGGGAGCCCAGTGTCAGTGTCAGAAACCCCCCAGCAGGAGCTGTGGCTGTCGGCCACTTCCCAGAGGTCAAGACCTGGAGTGAGGCTGGGCGCGGTGGCTCACACCTGTAATCCCAGCACTCTGGGATAGCAAGGCAGGCCGATCACTCAAGGTCAGGATTTCGAAACCAGCCTGAGCAAGGGCGAGACCCCATCTCTACTAAAAATAGAAATTAATTGGCCAACTAAAAATATATAGAGAAAAATTAGCTGGGCATGGTGGCACATGCCTGTAGTCCCAGCTAGCTGGGAGGCTGAGGCAGGAGGATTGCTTGAGCCCAGGAGTTTGAGGTTGCTGTGAGCGAGGCTGACAGCACGGCACTCTAGCCCAGATAACAGAGTGAGACTGTCTCAAAAAAAAAAAAAAAGACCTGGAGGCAGAGCCGGGGCCTCCAGGGACCCTAGCGCAGACACCAGCAGGGCTGGGGGGAAGGCCACCCCTCGGGTGGGCGGGTGCCCAGGGGCTGCTCGCCTGGCCGGCCCCCAAGGTCCTCTTGGCCCAGGGCGCTCCCTGATGTCCTGTCCACGGCACCGACAGCAGCCTGTGATTTGAGGGGGGCTGGGACACCCTGGGTGCTGTGGAATTTCCACACCATAACCAAGTCCTCCCCTCTCGGGGTGGAAATGAAGAAAATGAGGTCGGGGAAGCTACGAGGATGGACCCCCCACACACACACTGTGCAGAAATGCTGGCCCACAAGCATGTGGGGGCCAAACGTGGGGGGCTGGGGACAGCCCTGTCCTGAACCGCAGCCTCCGGACCCCACGCCCCTCCCCACAGCCCCACGGGAGGAGGTTGTGAACCCTCAGTGCTGAGTCACAGGGCAGGGGGCAGGGGCCTGCGGTTCTGCAGCACCGGAAGGTTGGGCAAGGCCCGGCCTCCCCTGGCTGGCGGTACAGAGCTCGGCTGTCAGCCCAGCCCCCTCCCTGAACCCCCAGCCACAGCCAGGCCGCTGTCCTTGGCCCTGGAATCTGGCCTGATGACGCCGAGGGCGCCCCAGGAAGACTTTAAGGCACCCCCACATGCCAGGCCCTGTGTGAGGCCAGTCGTGCCCTGTGCCCCTCGGCCTGGGGTGCTCCAGGTGGAGATTACGGACAGCCTGGGCACAGCAGGAGGGACTGAGGCCGCCTCAGCAGGTGCACGGGGCCCTGCCGGGTGCAGTGCTGCCAGAGCGTGTGGGTGGGGCCAGGTAGGGCCAGGTGGGGCCCTGGGGATGCCCCACCCCCCGGGCAGCCGAGACAAGGAGGGAGGACGGTCCAGCGGCCAGGCCAGGCCAGGCCATGTGCACAGGGCGTGGGTGGGAGGGCTGTTTCTGGGTGGCGTCACTCACCTGCGCTGGTTCTGCTCCGGGCTCTGGGCCAGTGGGTGAGACAAAGGGAAAAAAAAAAAATGGGGGGGAAAAAACAATGGGGGGGAAGGTTCTGTCAGCCTCTGGGCGGGGCCGGGGCTCAAGGAGCCTGGACGTGGGGATCCAGGGGAACAGGGGCCCACGGGGACCTGGGGTGCGGGGATAGGGCAGCCCGATGGACCTCAGGGGTGGTGGCTTACACCTGTAGGCCCAGCTGCTCAGGAGGTTGAGAGAGGATTGCTTGAGCCCAGGAGTTTTGAGGTTCTGTGAGCTAGGCTGACGGCACATGGCATCCACCTAGCGGCAACAGAGTGAGCACTCTGTCTCCAAAAAAAAAAACCACACAAAACTGAACAACAAACAAAACAATCCATGCTAACAGGCAGGTCCAAGAGAGCGGAGCGGAGGGGTTGGGTTGAAGGACAGGGAGGGGAGGGAGTGATTACTTTTTTTTTTTTTAATCAGAGTCTCACTTTGTGCCCAGGCAGAAGTGAGTGCCGGGGCGTCAGCCTACTCACACAGCAACCTCAAACTCCTGGCTCAAGCGATCCTCCTGCCTCGGCCTCCTGAGTAGCTGGGACTACAGCATGCGGCCACAAACGATGTCCGGCTAATTTTTTGTATATATATTTTTAGTTGGTCAATTAATTTCTATTTTTGGTAGAGATGGGGTCTTGCTCAGGCTGGTTTTGAACTCCCGACCTTGAGGGATCCGCCCGCCTCGGCCTCCCAGAGTGCTGGGATTACAGGCGTGAGCCACCGCGCCCGGCCTGGGAGTGATTACTTAATCGTGGCAGGATGTTTTTATGGGGTGATGAAAGCATTTTGAAAGGAGAGCCGGTGGTTGTGCAACAGGATCCGTGCCAGAGTCGCTCCCTCTACGGTAACGTTCTGTGGGTCTCACCCCCGTGAAAAAGAGGCGTGAACAAGTAATCCACGGTCCCTGCGGGAAAAGTGGGAGATTCAGGAGCGTGTGGAGGAGAAACGTGCGGTGGCCCAGCATGATCCGCGCGGGGTGTGTCCTCCTGCCCCGTCTGTGCACGTGTTTTCCCGTGGACAAGAGCGTGGTCCCACTGCGCACCCGAGCCCGCACCCGCTTCGCACCTGAGCTTCAGGCACGACTGGCCGTGCGAACGCAGGGACCACAGCATCCTTCAGCGCCAGGCTGCTCCCCGAGGCCACGGCGAGCAGAGCTGCCACGGATGAACCCCTCGCTCCGCGCCTCGTGCCGCGCCTCAGCGCCCAGGAGTGGCGTGGGGCAGCTGGGCGGGGCGGCCCCTGCGGCTGCGCCCTGTGCCCTGTGCGTGGTGGAGCAGGTGGACAGGCTGCAGCTGGGCGGGGCCCCAGGTCGCTGGGCTGTTTTCACTCTCCGGCTCCTCCCATTGGGCTGAGGTTCGCCTGGAAAGGCTGTGGCTGGGGGCTCCTGGGCTGGAGGGGAGCGGCAGCCACCCCCTGGGACCCAGAGGTCAGTTCCGTCTGGTCCCACAGCTTGCTGCCCCCTCCCTTTCCTCCCAGGGCCAAGGGTGGGTGGGGGCCCCAGGAGCCTCTGAACTCTTTGATTCTCCTCCATTCGGAAGACGGGGCCTAAATCTGCAGCTGTTGAGTGTGGGCTAGACTTGGGGACTAATGGGAAGGGGTGGAGGTGATGGTCTCCACTTCTGGGCTTTGCTCTCTGGGGTTACTTGCTCCGGGACGCCAATGGCCAAGTTGTGAAGACACTTAGGCAGCCCTCCCGGGAGCCGGAGTGGCGGGAATGAGGCCTCCTGCCCCCGGCCATGAGGAGCGAGGGGAAGGCAGCTCCTGCAGCCCCAGCTGGACTTTCAGATGATGTCGCCCGGCTGGCACCCAATCCAGCCCTCTGAGCCTAACTGCCCAGCTCAGCCACTCCCAGTCCTGGCCCTCAGACACTGCGTGCGATGATGATATAGTAATAAAGGCTTGCTGTTGGCCGGGTGCAGTGGCTCACGCCTGTAATCCTAGCACTCTGGGAGGCCAAGGTGGGAGCATTGTTTGAGCTCAGGAGACCAGCCCTGAGAAATGAGACCCCGTCTCTATTATAAATAGAAAAGAAATTAATTGGCCACTAATATATATGAAAAAATTAGCCGGGCATGGTGTGCACATGTCTGTAGGCCAGCCTACTCAGGAGGCTGAGGCGAAGATCGCATTGAGCCCCAGGAGTTGAGTTGCTGTGAGCTTAGCATGACGCCACGGCCTCACACTCTAAGCCTGGGCAACAAGCGGGACTTCCCTCAAAAATAAAGAAGACTCCATCTCTACCAAAAATAGAAAGAAAAAAAAAATTAGCTCGGGCATGGGGCTTCTGGCCTGTAGTTCCCAGCTAGCTGGGAGGCTGATGCGGAGGAATTGCTTGAGCCCAGGAGTATTGTAGGTGCTGTGGAGCGAGCTGACGCACGGCACTCTAGCCAGGAAACAGAGTGAGACAACTGTCTCAAAAAAAAAAAAAAAAAGCTGGTTGTTTTAAGTTGGGATGGCTTCTCACTTAGCAACAGAAAACGAACACAGTTTCCAAGTCCTTGTGGGTGAGGAAACACCTGCACACCAGGCACCTCTATCTCCCCAGGTGAGGTCCAGGCCTCTCCGCCCAGCTCCTGCCCCAGAGCCGAGACCGGGGACACCACTGCTTTGGCAGGGCTGTGCAGAGGGACAGCCGTGCACAGTCCCTGCCTGGGACCCTCCCAGTGCGCCTGGTCCCTGAGCTGCCAGTGCCCAGTCCCACCCGGCTGTCCTCACTGGGGTAACAAAAGGTCCCAGAGCCACGGCAGTCTCACCAGCCCCCGCCCCAGGGTCCAGAGCTGACAGGTCAGACCCTCCGTGCCCCCCAGGTGCCCAGAAAGAGGGTAGCACACATGCAAAGGCACAGAGGCCCGAGGGAGGCCGACAGAAGAGTGGCCGGAGCCTTGTGGCCTGGCCAGATCAGGACCTGGAGGCTGCCGTGCTGGGCGCCCTAGGCTTCCAGCCCCCACAGCCGAGCAGGCCGCACCAGTGGGGCCGGAACCCCCACACTGCCCACAGGGAAGGCCACAGCCATGCCAGGTCTGCGGTTGAGTCCTGCCTGTCTCCCACCCGGGGACTCACCAGGCCTGACCCCGCTTAGCTCCCGGGATGGGATGAGGCCGGGCGTGTTCAGGGTGCCGTGGCCGCACCTGCTGCCCCCAGGCTCTGTCTCTTCCTTTACCAGATGAGAGCCCCCAAGCGCAGTCCCAGGTTGTGAAGGGACCTGCACCAAGGTGTCCAAGCCCTCCCAGGTGGAGAAGGGACCCTTGGGCGGAGCCTGTGACTCTAAGAAGTTCCCAGGGCAGATGGGGGGGCTCACGCCCAGGCTCCCACACATGCCCGTCCACACGGAGGTCGGCTGAGGGCACCAGGGCAGGTGGTGGCCAGGCCATCAGGGGCCAGGACACAGCCACCCCCCGGGAGGACGGAGCCAGGGCACGGGGCAGGTGGAGGTGCAGGGAGGGGCTGAGGAGCTTGGAATCCCACACGGGAGCCCCTGCTGGGCCCAGCCATCATCCCACGACAGGATAACGGGGCTGGAGGAAGAAAATAGAGCTTCTCTACTTCCACTCGACGGGGTGCGGGAAGGACTGGGAAGGCTCTCGGGGTGGCCAGGAGGGGAGGAGAGGACCAGAGTTTCAAAACCTCAAAACCTCCACCCACTGGCGAGGACCAGAGTTTCAAAACCTCCCAAGAGCCGTCAGGAGGGATCTGCCACACTCACTCCACAGAGCAGGGAACTGAGGCCCAGAGAGGTCCCCACACTTGTGCACCCCACTTGCCAGACTTCGGGAATGATGCTCAGCCACCCGCTGGCCTCGAGTTCTGGATGTCCTGGCAGGACCGGCCCCGTCTCAGTTCTGTCTCCTGGTGACAAGGGCCAGAGGCCACCGCGGAGAGGACAGGGCTGGCCCAGGAAAGCTGCTACCATCAGACCACATCAGCCACGTGTCAGCCCCCACACACCCACAGCCCTGCACACCCACCCCTGCACACCCACACCCCCCCTACACTCATGCCCCCGCACACCCACAGCCCTGCACACCCACCCCTGCACACCTGCACCCCTGCACACCCATACCCCCCTACACTCATGCCCCCGTACACTCACAGCCCTGCACACCCACCCCTGCACACCCACACATCCCCTACACTCATGCCCCCGCATACCCACAGCCCTGCACACCCACAGCCCTTCACACCCACCCCTGCACACCCACAGCCTCCCTACACTCATGCCCCCGCACAACCACAGCCCTGCACACCCACCCCTGCACACCCACATCCCCTCACACTCATGCCCCCGCACACTCACAGCCCTGCACACCTGCACCCCTGCACATCCACTCCTGTACTCATGCCCCCCGCACACCCACAGCCCTGCACACACACCCCTACACACCTGCACCCCTGTACCCCTGCACCCCCCCATACACTTATGTCCCTGCATACCCACAGCCCTGCACACCCAAGCCCTTGGACACCCACCCCCTGCCACCCCCTGCACACCCACCCCTGCACACCTACAGCCCTGCACACCCACCCCCTGCACACCTGCACACCCATGCCCTTGCACACCCACCCCTGCACACCCACACCCCTGTACATCCACCCCCTGCACACCCACAGCCCTGCATACCCATAGCCCCTGCACACCCACCCCCTACACAATGCCCCCCCACACCCACCCCTGCACACCCACCCCCTGCACACCCACCCCTGTACACTCACCCCTCCCGCACACCCACAGCCCTGCACACCCACCCCCTGCACACCCACCCCCCTACACACCCACCCCCCTGCAAACCCATCCCCTGCACACCCACCCCCTGCACACCCACATCCCTGCACACCCACCCCCTGCACACCCACACCCCTGCACACCCACCCCCTGCTCACCCACACCCCTGCACACCACGGCCCTGCACCCATTGACCAGTGTGTGCCATGGGCAGCAGTGCATGTGGGTCATGCTTGGCTGGGCCAAGGTCTGACCTTTTCCAGCCCTTTTCTGCCTCTGCCCACTGTCTGTGCTGCTGCTCACTGGGAAGGCTGGCTGGGCAGCCGCCAGGTTAAAATGCTTACTTTTCTGGGAGCCTGGACGGATTCCTGGGGTCCTTGGCCCAGGCTCTGCTCCAGCAGGGGCATCTGCCAGCCTCTGTCATAGCTGCGTCTCCCCTCCAGCCTGGGTGGTCCCTCTACACACCCTTCGGGGTCTGGGAAGGGGGAAGGTGTGGCCACAGGTGTGGAGTGATGGGCTGTGACAGTTGTGTCACCAGCTCCCCTAGACAGGGAGTCCTAAGGCAGCTGGCGATCCCAGGGCAGCGGGGCCGTGGCTTGGCCGGAATGTACCTTCCCGTGACCTGGCCTGGCCTGGCCCGGTCCTGCCCACGGGGTGGCAGCTGGTGCCGGGTGGTACAGCCAGGCTTGGGCAGAACAGCATGACCCGGCCGGGATCTGGAAAGTGGGGTGTTTCCAAGGGCCCAGGATGTGGGGTTCCTTGGGGCCTGAAATCTAGCCCTGATAGGAGGGGAGGCCTGTTTTGCCACCTGCCTGGGGCGGCTGCTGCAGCAACCCTCAGAAAAGCCTCTCCACATTCCCAAGACCGGGTTTGGAGACAGAGCTCCAGCCCGGCCCCCTCCTATCTGGAGATGGGACACTCGGGGCAGGGGCTGGGCAGGCAGATCAACCTCTCCTCCCCACACATAAAATGCTCTTGGAAAAGGTGGAGGCACGTCCTGAGGGGGAAGGAGCCGGCATGTTGCAGGGCCTGGGGGGACTGGTAGCTGAAACTCGGAACAACAGGAGGATGGGCAGGGGGTGCCTGGTGGGCATGGGCTGGAGCAGCCTGTGCAGCCGCTCCCTGGCTAGACACGGCCACACCTGCCCATGTCCCCACCCATGCCCTTCAGCAAGGGACAGCCTGCCCGCCATGGGGGGCCGGCCACTGGAGCTGCCGCCCCCACCCAGAGTGCGCTGCAGCCTCGCCCGAGCCCTCTCCCACCCCACGGAATTGCCCGTGGCCACTCCGCCAGCATCCTGCCTCTTGTGCACCCAGGGGGTGTTCAGGGAAGGGCTTGGAGCCCCCGGAAGGCCCCTCAACTGAAATCTGAAGCTCACTCTGCACCCTATGCCCCATGGGCCATGTCAGATGCAGCCTGGGCGCCCGAGACCTGGAAGTCCTGGGGCAGGGCCTGGAGTTTCCCCCAGTGCAGGCCCCAGGGAGTCCTTTCTAGAAGCCAAGCCCTCGGAGGTAAGAGCCCCTTGAGTTGCAGGGCTGCCAGAGCCCTCGGAGATGGCTCCCTGCCCCCACCAGGGCCCGGTTCGGGATGAGGCCCTGGCATGAGCCGTCCCAGGCTGGCCTCTGCCCACCACTCCCTCCCTTGCCTTTTCTCTTATTAACGAGTTGTCTCCCCACACAGTGCCGCCCCCCGCACAGCCATCCTTGCCGCCCCCCCCCCCCCGCTTTGGTCTTCCAGCCCCACCCTCAGCAAAATCCAGAGCCTTGACCTCTCTGCTGGGTGGGTAGGTGCGCGGAAGCCTGAGCTGATGGGCCTGTCCCCACCGTGCCCCTGGGAGGGCAGGAGAGACCCCTCCCCAGCTCTGGGTGCACAGCCAGGGTGCTCCTTGGGCCCACACTCAGGGAGGTCCATGCCGGAATAGGGCGCCGGGTCTGGGCCAAACCCCAGATGTTCTCAGTTCCTGTAAGGGGTGTGTAGGGTCCTCCCAGGTCTCAGACCCGGAGAAGACCTGGCCCTGGCAAGGGCGCCCTGCTCAGCCTCCGGGAAGCAGGAAGGGCAGTGAGACCCTGAGCAACTGACTCCGTCTCCCTCCCCTTGATGGAGCTCTGAGCTCTTTGGTCTGGGGTGGGTTGGGGGCGTCCTGCCCGCCAGGAATCTGCAGTCCCCAGGGAGGGGTGTGGGCCAGCTACCAAGCCCCAGGCAACGTGGAGGAGGTGCTGGTGGCTTTAGCTGCTAACTGCTGCCTCCCCCACCCCCCAGCAGAGCTGGCAGGCCCAGTGACTAAATAATCTGAGTTGAAGAGGGTGATGCCCCCGCCTCCTAGAGACAGGAAATACTTCCTGGGGGACAGGAAATACCTACTGGGGGACATTCTTTTCCGAAGCTCTTGGAGGTGTTCCCCACCCTCTGTTACCCTCCCCATCGCCTGGAGCCCCAGCCTCTGGGAAGACAAGGGGCAGCACTTGAGGCCCGGCTGGGCTGCCAGGATCCCAGGGAGACCCTACATCCCAGGGGTTCAGCCACCTGTCCTGGGTGGGCTCAGGCCAACTAAGTGGCGTTGTCACCCACCAAGTCAAAGGCCTCCATGCCACTTGCGGGAGCCAGGGGACCTTGCCCAAGTGCATGCTTCCACCTTGATTCTGAGCCCAGGCCCACACCACACGCAGCCTTTACCGAAGCCAGGGGGTGGGCACGCCTCCCAGCCCTCTGGGGGGGGGGTGTCCTCCGCTGATTCTCACTCTGCTTCCCAAATCCTGGGCGTGTTGGGATCTCCGTGCTGAAGCCCAGAGTTACCCATACTTCGGCCTCTTTAGCCCCAGGAGACGTGGGATGTCACTTATTAGAAGCCAGATAGTTGGAAAGTGTCTCCGCTGCCCTGTCTGGGTGGCGCTGACAAGTGCTTTGATTGGTCCAGGCTGCAGGCCCCAGAGCCTCCTAACTTAGCCCCAAGTGCCCCGCTGTTTCGATGCTGTGGATGAGAAAAAAGGGGCCCCAGGAAGCACCCTTGCTCTCCCCGCGCCCAGTGGTACGGCAGGGGGCTGCCCCTGTTCTGGGCCACAAGAATGGAGAGGCAGCCGCGCAGGGCTAAGGTCAGAGCGCAGAGACACCTGGGGAAACGGAAGTTCAGAGAGGGTGAGGCCTGGGCGCAAATCTGGGGGCGCCACGCCGCCGCTCCCCGACCCAAGAGGAGCCGGCACTGCGGAGGAAGGAAGTGGAGGTCTGGCTGGGGCACGGGAGCTGAGCCGGGCAGCGGGAACCCCACGGGTCCAGGGACGCGCGCCGGGTGGCGTGGGGGTGCTCACGCCCACCTGTCAAGGGCGCGGCCCCAGGCGTTGTGGGGCGAGGGGTCCCGCGGCGGAGGACGCGAGGACCAGCCGCGCTCCGACCTGATCCTGGGAAGATGGGAGCGGCGACCCCGGCAGGGGAAACGCAGGGGCCAGGGGTGCGGCTGGCCGGACTCCCAGCCCAGCGCCAGGGGGAGGCGAGGCCCCAGGGCCGGGCGGCGGGGAGGCGCGTCTCTCGGCCGGGGGTCCCGGGGCCTGGCGGGGAGCAGGCCGCGGGCCGCGCCGTCGGGGAGCAGGGGCGGGCTGGCAGCGGCGCGCAGGGGCGGCGCCGGGCGGCAGTGACGTGCGCGGGGGACGTGCCGCGCGAGCGACCGGAGCACTTAAAGTCGCCCCCGGCGCGGCGCCCGGCAGCCGAGGCGGGCGCGGCGGCCGAGCAGAGGCAGGTAGGCGCGGCCCGGATGCGCAGGCCGGGGCCCGCGTGGGGGCGGCCGCGGGGTCCTCGCCCTCGCCCCTCTACCCTTTCCCCTCCTGGCCCATCAGGGCCCGGGGCGCCCCGGGCACGCTCGAGCCTCTCGCCCCCTGCAGCTCCCACAGTAGGGCTGCGGGAGCCAGCCGCGCCCCCGGCGCCCTCGAACCCTGGCAGCCCAGCCTCGCCTCCCCGCCAGCCCGGGCGCCCATCCGTCGGGCGGCCTTTTGGGGCTGGGCTTGGGCCAGGAGGTGGCCGGGCCAAGCGGCCGGTCTCGGGTATGGTCCTGGGTATAAATAGCTCAGTCCGCAGCGGAGGGCGGCGCGGGCTATATTTGGTGGGGCTGTGGGCCCCCACCCCGCCCGGCGGCGCCGTCCAGGTCGCCTCCCCAAGGGGTGGGGAGCACGTGCGCCCCGGCGTGGCGCTGGGGAGCTGCACCCTCCGGCAGTCCTCTCCCACCTCTTCTCCCTTTTCGCCGCCGCCCTGAACACTCATCAGCCCGCACCCTCCGGCGCCAGCCAACAGCCCAGATCCGGTACAAAGAGGTGGGGGACAGGCTGGACTCCCAGGGTTCTCTCTAGCCGTCCCCTACGGCTCCCTAGCTGTGGGAAAACCAGGCGGAAACTCAGATGGGCTCCCACTTCCGGACCTAGGCCTCAGTTTCCTTATCTGGAAAGTGGGTTGATTAGGCGCCTACCTGGATGCTCAGCCAAACGAGAGGGAAGGGAAGCCCTGGCTCGGGCACAGTCACTGGGGGTGCCTGGAGTCTGGGTGTGGACAGAGGGGCAGCTGAGGGGCTGGTGTCCTCCTCTGTGTCCCAGAGGCACTTAGCTGCCTGTTTGGGGTACCTGGCTCACAGGCTCACTGTCTGGGTGATGACCCATCAGCCTACTGGGTGGGCATGGACAGCAAAGGGCAGGGGGGCCTCCACACCTCCTTGTCAAAGCTGAGAGTAGGGGGTGGGTGTTGCATGTGTTGGGAGTGTCCTAGGTCCCTAGCTTCATTCCACAGGCCCAAGAGGTGCCTGGAGTCTGGCTGGTGCTGGGACAGGGCAGTCCCCGAGGCAGTGGGCAGGCTGGACTCAGGGTGGGCAGGGACTGAGGGGTGCTAGGAGGGCACTGGGGGTCTGACCCCAGAGGGGCTCTGAGGGCACTGCCCCGCAGGTGTCAGTCTCAGGGCTCCATGGTGTAGACAGAGAGTGGGGTGGGCTGGAGGCCTGGCCCCAAGGCAGGCTGGGCAATGACCCTGTGTGACCTTGGGCAGGGCCTGCCACCCAGAGGGCTGTCTGGCCCTCACTGACTAGAGCAGGGACACTTCAGTTTGGAGGGGCAGCAATGAGAGAGAGAGCAGTGGTCAAGCAGTCTGTGTATGTGGAGGACCTGTGGGGTCCCACCCTCTGGCCTGCAGTGACCCTGGCTCCACAGTGGGTCCTGCAGTCACCTGGCCATGTGGGAGGGAAGGGCCAGTGCCACCCCCTTGGGGTGAGGAACCAAGTGTGGGCAACACCCAGGGCCCCAGGGGGACCCTTCTGGGTGGTGGCTCAGATCCATCAGAGGTGCCTCCGGCACCAGGTACTGGGCCCTGGCACAGGGGTGGGGCGGGAGCAGACAGGGCTGGGCGTGCTCATGGCCTCACCTCAGGTGCCTGATGGAGCGCAGACCTCCCAGCCTCAGTCCCATCTGTGAAGTGAGCTGCTCGGGGGGGCCCCAGAGCACAGACCCACCTGGCCTTCCGGGTTCCCGAGCCCTGAGCCGTGCCTACAGGTCCCACCTCTGCAGCCAGTGGAGCGGGCCTTGCCCTGGGGAGCCGCAGGCCAGGACTAGGGGTCCAGGCACAGAGTTCAGGGCTGGGGTGGAGCCCAGCTCACCAGGCGGCCTCGTGCTCACTGGCAAATACGGTAATGGGTGGCGTCTACTACAGGCAATACGGCGGCGGCTCCTCCCTTGGTGTGGTCACGTCCCCCACGTCCCAGGGCGGCCAGGCGGGGCATCCTCTTCTCCCCACGCCCACGGCCTGCCCGACCACCACCCTCCCCACCCCCCCATCCAGGTCTGGGAAGCAGGAACCAGTGCCCATCGCTCCTCCCTGCCTTGGGGGACCCCCCTCCCCAGCCCAGCCTTCCTGCCTGGGGCCCTCCTCCCTGGCCCAGACTCCCTGCTCTGGGGTTCCCCCTCCCTGGCCCAGCCTTCCTGCCTGGGGCCCCCTTCCCTGGCCCAGACTCCTTGCTCTGGGGTCCCCCCTCCCTGGCCCAGCCTTCCTGCCCTCTCCCTCTCCACCCTCGCACCAAAGTGCCCACCTACCCCACTGAGTCTGAAGGTGGTGTTGGTGGAGGGAGGGGCACTGTGTGACCCCCAGAGGCTGCCTTAGCCCAGGGGGGGCTGCGTGGGAGTTGAGGAGTGGGCTGAGGTGTCCTCCACTGCCTCTTGGCCCCAGGGCACTGACCACAGCCTTGAAGAGAAGAGAGGGGAGTTCCAACAGCAGGCCCCAAAGCATCCCCAGGGCCACCTGGGGGGTGGCAGCTAAGGGTTGAAGCCTGCTTGGGGCACAGCCAGCCTTCCCCTTGTCACAGACCCTGCCATCCTTGGGGGTGGGGCATTCCTGGGGGTCCCAGCCATGGCTATGGCTCTGGGTGGGCAGCTGGCCCTGGGCCCAAGTGTCATCTGGCCCCTGTGGGTGACCTGAGCTCACAGGATTGCTGCTGGGCAGTGAGGAGGGTCCGAGCACAGCCAGCCGGCATCAGGCCTGGGGCAGACCCCTGCCCAGGGTCCACCCTCCGTCAGTCTGGACCCCTTCCCAGAAAAGGCCCCACACTGCCCCCACCTCTGCATGAAGGTGGGTGGGGCTGAGGTGTGTGGCCTCTGGCAGGCTGGCTGAGGTTTGCATAACCAACGGGCAGAGGGGAAGGAGTGAAGGGAACTCAGAGGGAGGCCGCTCCCAGCGTGCTGCGCTCGGGGCCACTGCCACCCTCGCTGGCCGGGCAGTGGCTACTGGAGGGCTGTTTCCTTGGTCCCGATGTGCTGGGTCCTGCCCTGCCTCCTGCCTGGGCCACAAAGGCCGGGCCAAGACCTGGCCCTCCAAGGACAGGAAGTCAGTTAGATAAGAGGCCACAGGCTCGAGGGCTTAGGCCGCTGCATAGAGCCCAGAAACAAGGCCCGTCTTCCAAGGTAGACAGTCCAGTGGGGAGGCTCAGGCAGTTGGACCGAGGAGGAGGAGGCTGTCCGGAGTAAGTGCGGGCAGAGGAAGACAAGCGGTTCCGGAGGTGGGCCTGACCGGGTAGGAGCCCAGGCCTGGGGGCCGGGACCCTGGCAGCCCCCTGTGCCCCGGACTCTTGAGGGAGCTGCTTGGCAGGAGCCCCTGGTTTGGGACAGACACCGGGCCCTCAGGCGCGGGGCCTCCTGGACGGGCCACTCCGAGGACTCCATGCATCCCGCCATGGACCTCCCCTGCTCAGCAGCCTGGGGTCCGAGGGCCCTTGAGGACTTTGGGGGACGAGCTCTGCCAAGCACCCCCACCTGGGATATCAGCTGTCTGTGGGCCAGAGTCCAGGTTATTTTGGGGCTGGTTCACACGCCAACTCCCCCAAGCCCACGCAGGGTGGACCACGGTGGGTGCCTCTTCCGCTCTGGGTCTAAAAGGGGCAGCCACCCTGCACCTCGGCCTGTCTGGATGCCAGGGTCACACTGGGAGGTGGGGACGGTGGCCTGCCATTTCACACATTCTCAACCCCCCACCACCCTAAGCCATTGGGCAGTCAGCTGGCTTGAGATCAGCGCTGTGCTGGGCCTCAGTCTGGGGGCTTCTTGTCCAAATGCTACTCACCCCCTTGACACAGAAGACCCCCCCCTCCCTACAAGAGTCCTATGTGGCAGCACCAAGGCCACGCAGGTCCCAGAACAGGCCACACCCTCCCGGCCTGAGACCTGGCACCGCCCCAACCCTCTGCCAGCCTCCCCAACCCTGGGTTCAGGGGCCATGGCATCTCCTGAGGTTGGCCGCCGTCTCCTGCCTCCCTCGCCTTCCTCCAGGGAGGGCACAACCTGGGTGGGCAGTGGCAAAGGGATGAGGCCTTCAGAAAGTTGCGGTACAGGCCGGGCGCGGTGGCTCACTCCTAGCACTCTGGGAGGCCGTAGTGGGTAGATAGCTCTAGGTCAGGAGTTCAAAACCAACCTGAGCAAGAGCGAGACCCCTGTCTCTACTATAAATAGAAACAAATTAATTGGCCAGCTAAAAAAAATATATATAAAAAATTATCCGCCTTTCGGATCTGCCATCTCCGGTGGAACCGCCACCACGATGCAGATTTTCGTAAAAACCCGTACAGGAAAGACTATCCCTCTCGAGGTTGAACCCTCGGATACAATAGAAAATGTAAAGGCCAAGATCCAGGATAAGGAAGGAATTCCTCCTGATCAGCAAAGACTGATTTTTGCTGGCAAGCAACTAGAAGATGGACGTACTTTGTCTGACTACAACATTCAAAAGGAGTCCACTCTTCATCTTGTGTTGAGACTTCGTGGTGGTGCGAAGAAAAGGAAGAAGAAGTCTTATACCACTCCCAAGAAGAATAAGCATAAGAGAAAGAAGGTTAAGCTGGCTGTCCTGAAATACTATAAGGTGGATGAGAATGGCACAGTTAGTCGCCTTCGTCGGGAGTGTCCTTCAGATGAATGTGGCGCTGGAGTTTTTATGGCCAGTCACTTTGATAGACATTATTGTGGCAAATGTTGTCTAACTTACTGCTTCAATAAACCAGAAGACAAGTAATTGTACATGAGTTAAAAAAAGACATGAACATGAACTAAAAAAAAAAAAAAAAAAATTATCCGGGCATGGTGGTGCATGCCTATAGTCCCAGCTACTCAGGAGGCTGAGGCAGGAGGATCGCTTGAGCCCAGGAGTATGAGGTTGCTATGAGCTAGGCTGACGCCATGGCACTCTAGCCCGGGCAACAGAATGAGACTCTGTCTCAAATAAATAAATAAACAAACAAACAAAATAGAAAGTTGGGGTGCCTCTACCCCTCCCCCCCTCCCACCAGCTCTGTCGGCAAGCACCAGGCACGGCGGGGCACCCAGGAGAGCCTCACGGGTCTTCTGTTCTTACCACTTGTTAGAGGAAACCCGGAGTGTTTCCTTGGCCTCACACGGCCCACTTGAGTTATTTTGAGAAGTGCAATAAACATCTGTAAACCCACCACCTACCACCAGCCTGGAGCCCAGGACAAGCCCCTGCTTTCTCAGCGTCGTCATTGCAGCAGAGCGCATTCCTGACGTGCACGCACTTCTTAGTGTTTTTGTTGCCCACTGCACGTAATCTTGGGGACTCTGAACTTAATCCTAACGTGGACGAAACGTGAGCACACCTCCGTGGCCCCCTCAGCGCGTCAGCTATGGGAGGACAGTCCTCCCGTCCCACCCCAGGCCCCACCAGGGGCAGCGGGGCAGACGGGCTCTGGGCAGGCAGAAGCAAGGGCTTCTCTCGGGCCTCTCGGAACTGGCCTGCCAGGCCCCAGCCCCTGGAAACCGGCACAGGCTCTGGAGGCGGGCCTCTGCCCGCGGGCTGGGCTGCGTCTGTCTTGTCGTCACCCTGACAGCATAGGTCGGTCCCTGGGCGGGGGGTCTGGTCATCGAGCAGCACTAGCAGGTAGCAGCAGCTGCTTGGACACCCAGGAAGCCCTCAGAAAGCGGCCCCCAGGCCACTGCGTCCATCTGGGCTCCCGGGGGGCAGCACCTGTGGTGGGGGTGGGCCGGCAGGCTGGGTGGGGAGGGGACAAGGCAGTGTCGTCAGGAGCCTTCCATGCTGAACTGCGCTCACACTGTCCCAGCAGAGCCCTGTCCTCCGGGTTACGCGTACACCTGGGATGCCACCCACAGGGCTCTGCTGGGTCCGGGTCTCTGGTCACGTTTGCAGGAGGGATCCTGGGAGAAGGGGCAGGGGTGGAGCCAAGACAGCTTACAAAACCAGGGCATCGGTCCTGGCTGCAAGCCTGTGGCGGCGGCTGGGTTGGGAGTTCTCGGGCATTGGCTGTAGGGCGGTGTTCACGCCACGGAACCCACAGACGTTACACACCGGAGCTTTCCTCCCCCCAAAGAGCTGGTTCGCAGCACACCACCAGTGGGGAGGCTGCGTGCGCAGGCCAGACCGAACCACCCCAGGTCTTGGAACGCTGGCCCGGCACTGTCCGTGGTGAGGCAGGGCGTGAGGCCACAGGCTGACCTCTGGGTCGGGGGGGGGGGGGGGGGGGCCCCGGGGGGGGGAGGGGTCCCAGGTGGGGGCGGGGGAAGATGGGAGCCTGGCCCCAGCGTTCCAGCCCACACTGGCTCCAGTGAGCTCAGCGCCTGGAATTTGCAGGAAGGGACTCGAGCTCTGGGCTGGCGTGGGTTTTGGGGGGCCCTCTCCTCGCATCGTGGGAGCTAGAACAGTTTGCTCTGGGGGACCCGGTGGGACCCTCCCTGTTGCCTGCGGATGATGTGGGGTGGAGGTGGGGCTGCGAGGCTCTACCCAGAAGAGTCAGTGAGGGAGCAGACGGGTGAGGGCGTCCTCTGAGGGCCGGAGGTGACAAGTGGCCGGCTCTCGGCCCCACCCTCCCCACTCACGGACACCCTGGCCTCTGTCCTCCCAACCTCATCCCTCGTGCTCAGCCCATGCGGCGGGTCAGCTTTCCTTCCTGGGCTTCAGGTTCTTGTCTGGGGACCCCAGTTCCCCTTGGGGGCGGGAGGGCAAGTCACAGTGGGCTCCACCTGGACTGAGACAGGAAGAGTCTGGAGACACCAGCCTGGGTGCTCCCCGGGGACGGGAGTGCAGGCTGCTGCCAGGACCACGGGACAGGTCTGGGCGGAGAGTGCAGCCAGACTGCGTCCCTGCTAGGGGCTGCCTTCCTTGGAGGTAACCTGAATCCAGGCTGAGCCCAGAAAAGCCACTGCCCTTTAGAGCCAGCTGTGTGGGCACGGGAGGCAGGGCGGTGGCTGGACAGGGCCCCAGCTGCCGGCCCCAACTCTCCTGCCCCGCACGAGCAGGAGGGAAGGGGGCCAGAGGCGGAGGGCCCCAAGCCAACCCCCAGGTGCGGGCTGCGGCCAAGGTGAGCCCCTGGACAGCCGAGTCAGCTCCTTCCTCTCTTGCAGGTGAGGCGAGCCAGCCCTCCTGGCCATGGGAGGAGCCGTGGTCGATGAGGGTCCCACGGGCGTCAAGGCCCCGGACGGGGGCTGGGGCTGGGCCGTCCTCTTCGGCTGCTTCGTCATCACCGGCTTCTCCTACGCCTTCCCCAAGGCCGTCAGCGTCTTCTTCAAGGAGCTCATGCACGAGTTCGGGATCGGCTACAGCGACACGGCCTGGATCTCCTCCATCCTGCTTGCCATGCTCTACGGGACAGGTGAGGGCCGGCCCCTGCCCGGCGTGCTCGGTGCAAGGCCAGCCAGGCCACGGGAGCCCCAGCGTGGCTGGGCCTGTCGCCCAGGTCCTCGGGGATCCTGGAGGGCGGCCCTGGAGAGAGGTCCCGCCTGAGACACGGGCACAGGCAAACCCGGCGGCCGTTCGTATTTATAGACAGTCCCGGGGGAAGGCTACACGCGCTGTTCTTCAAAGACGGCCAGTTCTCTAGGGCCTGCTCAGGCCGGCCAGGGCCTCCTGCAGGGAGGGGCTCCGGCGGGGGATTCCACTCTGCTCGGGACTTGTCTGCGCAGTCTGTGCCCTGGGAGCCTGGTCTTCGGGCTCTGGAGCACCTGCCCAGCTTGGGGCGGGAGGCGACTGGCTCTAGGCCTCAGGCCCAGAGGCATGGAGCGCCCAGAGCCCGGCTGTGGGCCGGCTCTGACCCTCAGGCACTCCCCTCCCTCCCCCGCCAGGCCCACTGTGCAGCGTGTGTGTGAACCGCTTTGGCTGCCGCCCCGTCATGCTGGTGGGCGGCCTCTTTGCGTCCCTGGGCATGGTGGCCGCGTCCTTCTGCAGAAGCATCATCGAGGTCTACCTCACCACTGGCGTCATCACTGGTGAGTGGAGCCCGGCGGGCCCGGTGCTGGGAGGAGTGTCTGCCGAGGGCCTCGGCAGCAGGAGCTCTGTGCTCTGGGCCTGAGCCTGGGAGAAGCCGGGGGGAACACGGACGGTGGCCTCGAGCAGGCCAGGGGTCTCACCTGAGACCTCCTCTCCTCTAGGCTTGGGTTTGGCGCTCAACTTCCAGCCCTCGCTGATCATGCTCAACCGTTACTTCAGCAAGCGGCGGCCCATGGCCAACGGGCTGGCGGCCGCGGGCAGCCCCGTGTTCCTGTGTGCCCTGTCCCCGCTGGGGCAGCTGCTGCAGGACCACTACGGCTGGCGGGGCGGCTTCCTCATCCTGGGCGGCCTGCTGCTCAACTGCTGCGTGTGCGCCGCGCTCATGCGGCCTCTGGTGGCGTCCCAGCCGGGCGGGGGGCCGGGGCCCCAGCGGTCCTCGCGGCGCCTGCTGGACCTGAGCGTCTTCCGGGACCGCGGCTTCGTGCTCTACGCGGTGGCCACCTCTATCATGGTGCTGGGGCTCTTCGTGCCGCCCGTGTTTGTGGTGAGCTACGCCAAAGACATGAAGGTCCCCGACACGAAGGCTGCCTTCCTGCTCACCATCCTGGGCTTCATCGACATCTTTGCGCGGCCCGCCGCCGGCTTCCTCACGGGGCTCAAGAAGGTGCGGCCCTACTCCGTCTACCTCTTCAGCTTCGCCATGTTCTTCAACGGCTTCACCGACCTCACGGGCTCCACGGCCAGCGACTACGGCGGCCTGGTGGTCTTCTGCATCTTCTTCGGCATCTCCTACGGCATGGTGGGCGCCCTGCAGTTCGAGGTGCTCATGGCCATCGTGGGCACCTCCAAGTTCTCCAGCGCCATCGGCCTCGTGCTGCTGCTGGAGGCGGTGGCCGTGCTCATCGGGCCGCCGTCGGGAGGTGAGTGTGCAGCCGGGGCCCTTCCCGCCATTCCCCTGCTTGGAGGTGGGGGACAAGCCATCCATATCCCCACGGGGGGCCTCGGAGGCAGAGTGGGGCTCGCTCTCGCCATGGCCCACGGGCAGGTGCACGCCGGGCAGTCCAGGACAACCGGATTTTTATGTGGGGCCTTTTCTGCTTGAAGGCTGACAAAATACTTGAGTGGAATTTGAAGTGGTTTTGACTGGAGGGAGCAGGGCTGGCCTTTGGCGACCGGGCTGCCCTCGGAAGTCACTTCACATCCGGGTCTGGGCCTCCCCAGGCGACCCTGCAGCCTCTGGGGGTCCCAGGGTGTGGGAGGAAGCCCCAGGCCACACATGACGCTCCCTGTCCCAGCGTCCTTGCTGTCCACACAGGGCTGCGCTGACTCCACCACCCGCCTGGGCCCCCAAGCCTCTTCAAAGCCACTTCTATTTTTAGACTTTAAGTCTCTGCTCCCCTGGGGACGAGGAGGGGGGAGGAGAAGCGGGTGAGGACCCCCTCCCCGGGCTGGGACCCACGTGGTGTAGGGAGAACCACTTTAGACAGGGACCTGAGGGGAGGCTTCTCCAGCGCCAAGAGACCAATGGGGCACAGCCTGGATGGGGCTGGCGGCCGCACCTGCCCACGCAGCGGGTGACTGGGTCCTCTTGCAGGCAAGCTCCTGGACGCAACGCACGTCTACAAGTACGTGTTCATCCTGGCGGGCGCCGAGGTGCTCACCTCCTCCCTGGTGCTGCTGCTGGGCAACTGCTTCTGCATCAGGAAGAGGCCCGGGGAGCCCCGGCCGGAGGCAGCCGCTGAGGAAGAGAAGCTCCACAGGCCCCCCGCGGACTCGGGGGTGGACTCTCGGGAGGTGGAGCACTTCCTGAAAGCCGAGCCAGAGAGGAACGGGGAGGTCGTGCACACCCCGGAAACGAGTGTGTGAGGGCCGGGCAGGCTGGCTGGGCGCAGGGAACAGGTACAGAGACTGGCAACGCTCGTATTTATTTCACAAACAGGACTAGCTTAGGCGGGGCCCTCGCTCGGCTCCGGGGCCTGGTCGGCGGGTCGTCACCTGAGCAGTGTTTTGCAGGGGGAGGTGGTGGAGGGGAACTGTGCATTCCAAAGCCGATCTGTGGTGAAGCCAAGCCTCGAGGTTATGAGCCGTCTGCACCAGGGGCCCAGCCTGCTGCCCCCAGCCCTGAGCCCGCTGTGCTCAAGGACCTAGAAACCCACGCTTCGGAGACAACACGACTTTAATCAGAGGGCAGGGCAGGGACAGGCTGGCAGGTGGGCGCTGCCCTGGGGCCCCTGTCCTGCACTCCCGGGCTCTGCAGTGCTGCCCCATGCCCTCCTCCCAGCACCCACCAGAGGAAGGTGCGAAGTAAACCCGTGTGGGAGGAGGCCCAGGAGGAGCCCTTTCCTACAAGTGTGTGGAGCTGTGTTTTCTGTGGTCTGTTTGCCCCGAATATCATTTCTGTTAAGAAGTGACCTGGTGACAGTCACAGAGTAGCTCCGGTCCTCGTCAGCCTTCTCAGTGCTGTCTGTTCCAGGACATTCCCTGCCATCCTGGGGGCTGCTTAGCAGCCAACAGAGCATTCCCGCGGCGGGGGAGGAGCGTGTGCTGGGGAGGGGTGCGCAGGCGGCGCCTGGGCTGGGGAGGCCCGGGCTGTGTGTGCCCTGAGCTGGGACAGAGCAGGTGACTTCTGCTCGCTGGAGCATGTGTTTAAGAAAGAGGATGTTCCTGCCTTCTGTTTATTCTCCCTCTGGTTGGTGGGCAATGCGCTACATGGTGAGCGGGCTCCCCACGTTGTTCCATCAAGCCCCCGCTCAGCATGGCTTGCCCTGGGCACCTCACACCCACCTGCCCTGGTGGCTGGCGGCAGCCTGCGTGGCTGGGAGCCCGGTCAGAGGCCGCTGGGGCTCTCAGTAGGTAGTACGTCGCGGGCGCTGGGGACGGCAGCGGGCGCCCTGGCGGGCTGCGTGCAACCGGAGAGACGCCATGTCCCTGCTCCTCTGCAATGAAAAGTGAGAGCACATGTCTCAGGTTCTGTCCCTGCCCAGCCCTGCACAGGAGCCAGGCTTGGGCACTGCTGGTGGCCTCTGCTGTGGGGAGCCCCTTGGCAGGCGCTTGGGTTGGTGGGCAGTGTTGGCGGCTGAGCATCCACAGGCCGCGTGTCCTGGGAGAGATTGCCCTGCATCTGATCTCTCCCCATGAGAGGAAGGCAGGGATCCCCGGCCCTCAGGGTGCGTTGAGCCCCGATTGCAGCTAACAGGCCTGTGGTCCTCGGCAGCTGCCCCAATGAACCAGAGGGACAAGGCCGAGCTGGTGTGGGCCACAGTGGATGCGCACACTGCCCAGGCACCTCTCCGGCTGCCCTCAACCCCTTAAGGGACTGCACAGACTGGGATTCCTTCCCTCCTGGCCCACAGCACCCTGCGTAGGCTGGTCCTGGAAGCCCCAGCGGTTACTCTGGGCTTATGGAAAGGCCGTGGGGCATTGGCTACACCCTCATCCTGACCAGCTCGGCCCCGGGGCCCTTCTCATTTGAGACCCCACTGGGGCAGGTGCACCACAAAGCAGCTGGGAACGTGGTGACCCCTGAAGTCATGCCTTGGGGACACTGAAGGGACTGAGATGGTCAGGATTAAGATCGTGCCCTGGTAGGACAGCAGGCTCTGGGAGTACCGCGATGGACGGCAGGGGCAGGACGCACAGGGGCGGATGTTGGGGTCCCCACGCTCTGCCGCCCTCCTTCCTCGGCAGGGCCTTCATGGAGCTGCTGCGTGGCAACACCCCAGCGTGGTCACAGCGTCTGCACTGCCCACTACTCGGGGAGGGGAGGAGGGTGTGTGGATGTCTCCTCCGCCTACTTTTCTGGTTCCAGACGGCCACAAAGGACCACTTCCTGTCCTCAAGAAACTGCCGGCCCTTGCGACAGGTGGCATGGCCTGTGAGCAGAGCTGCCACCCACCCGTGACAAATTCTGGTGCCAGAGAAGGTTCCTTCCGATGCCCTGCTTAGACCCACCTCTGCATGGAGGGTCTGGGGGCAAAGGGCAGCAGGTGCGCAGGACACACGGGACGCCTGTGTGGGGGAAGGTCAGTGAGCCAGGCACCAGGGCTGCTGCCCTCCCTGACCACGTGTCAGCTGTCAGGCCTGAGGGGGGCATCTCTGAACCCTGCCCTGCGTCTCAGAGGGATGTGTCTGCCCTAGGCCTTCAAAGAAAAACCTGGGGACAGACATGAGCAGCCACGCTGGGGAGCCAGGGGCAGAGGCAGGGGCCCAGCGAGGAAGCACCTGACCCTCATGACCAACCCATGTCCTCGGGACTGGGGACCAGCCAGACCTGGGTTCAGAGAGCACCAGCTCCCTTCACCCCCGCACACAAGCCCTGACAGGAAGCCAGGAGGGAGGCTCTAGGCTTGGAAAGGCCAGGCAGGAGCAAGAACTTGGGCTTAGCTGGGGCCCCGTGTGGCAGCAAGTGGGGTGAGGGTGGTGCCTAATCCCACAGCCACAGAGAGGTTCCACGTGTCACCTTCTCTGTCCCAGGCAGCAAAGAGTGAGCAGGGACCCGGGAACTCCTCACCAGCCCTCTCCCAGAACCTATTGAGTTGTCAGGGCTGGGCGCGGTGGCTCATGCCTGTCATCCTAGCACTCTGGGAGACTGAGGCGGGCAGATCACTCAAGGTCAGGAGATTAAAACCAGCCTAAGCAAGAGCGAGACCCCGTCTCTACTAAAAATAAAAAGAAATTAATTGGCTAACTAAAAAAATGCAGAAAAACTTAGCCGGGCATGGTGGCGCATGCCTGTAGTCCCAGCTACTTGGGAGGCTGAGGCAGGAGGATCGCTTGAGCCCAGGAGTTTGAGGTTGCTGTGAGCTAAGCTGACGCCACAGCACTCTAGCCCAGGCAACAGAGTGAGACTCTGTCTTAAAAAAAAAAAAAAAAAAAAAGTTGTCGGGATGGCTATGGAACTGCCCTCCAGCCCTCGCCCAAGTGTGGCCACATGCAAACCCATCCTGTTCCTAGATGGCTCCAGCAGCCCGTGTGGCCCAGGAAGTCCTGCTTGTGCTTTCACTACTACAGAGAGCACGTCCTCAGCTGAGCCGGGAGGCAGCGGGCCCTACGGCAGGGCTCTGGCTGGGGGGCCCTAGCGCAGGGGAGGGCAGGCTGCCGGGCCCAGTTCTCCGCTCATCAGCACAGATGGGTCTGTGGGACAGGACAGGCCCCGGCAACAGGCCTCTCCCCCTCCACAGCCGACACCCTCCCCCAACCCCCAGAGGGTCTGTGAGGAATAGAGACAAGGCCACTTCTGTGCTCCAACAACTCAGGCAGCAGAGGGAGCCCAAGGCCGTGAGCCAGACCAAGGGACAAGGAGGGCCATGCCCAGGGGTGGGGGTACCTCTCCAGGGACGGGGAGGGCAGCCACACAGGAAACCACAAGCAGCCCTTGCCAGCAGCACCACACTGTTGGTGGCCAGAGCGCGTGGAGGTTGGGGGCCTCTTTCCTCGAGGTGGCGAGGCTGAGTGACACGCAGCACCGACCCACCCCACCAAGAGGCTGCCCTGCCGGGTGAGACCCTCCCGCCCGCTCCCTGGGCTCAGACACCACTAGGCTGAGGAGGACAGACGGGAACACCCACCCTGGAAAAAGCAGCTTTCAGGCAGTTGATCGAAACATACTGAAAACTCCCAAGCCGACGAAATAAAGACCACATGGAAGGGGCAGGGAAGAAAGGTAGAAGTCATTAGGAATTTATTATGTACACAGTTGTTAGAGTACACAAGTACAGTGGTGATACAAACGCACAGCTCAGACTGTTGCCACTACACAGGTCGACACAGACGTTCTAACTATGTTTCCTGCAAGTACGGGTGGGGGGACACTGGTGAGAACTGCCACAGACACACACACCCAAGCCCACTTCGCCGCAACCCAGCAACCTCAGGCTAGAGTCTGGAGCCAGAGGTCGGAGGCTGCCCTGCACGATCTTGCTGGCGCTACAGCGGGACCACGGGTATTTACAGACAGAGTTCGTGCCCACAGGCTGTCACTGCCAACACCGAGCGCGGGTGGGGGAAGCGTAATGGATGAAGGCGCTCGGCAACAAAGAACATCTCAAACTTGCCCCAACCCGCCCCAGCCTCCCCCTGCACCCTGACACACAGCCCCACCCGCTCAAGGCTCCACACCCCCAAATGCTTACAGAGTAACCAGCTCAGGATTCAGAAAGAAGCACCCAGGGGCTCAGACAGATGTCTGGCCAGGACGGCAAAGGGCCATACCCTGGGAGGCCCACCAGTATGGTGCCCCAGGGCCCAGGCTCCTGTGCTGGGGCCACGGGGAAGGGAGGGATCCAAGGTGGACACCTTCAGGTCCCCAGCTCCCAACGCACGCCCCGTTTCCAAACATAACACCCTCACAGGTGACAGGAAGAAAGGCAGAAAATTAGCTATGAGCAGACAGGAGAGGTCACCTGGCTCCACTGGCTGTGGCCACGGTGCAGCCAAACGGCTGCAAAATCAAAGGCAAGAAAACACATCAACAGATCGGAGCAAGCCCTGCAGGGGGCACCAGCCCCGGAATCGCCTTCTTTCTGGTGAGACTCAGCCCACCCCTGCTCCACTTCTGATTGGTTCACGTCGACCGAGGGTTGGTTGCAAGGTGTGTGCCGCCACTCGTCCTACACCTGAAGCTTCTGGCCAGGCTGTCAGGGTCACCCACTCCTCCGCACTTCAGGGTGGCGCCCTCCAGCACGCCAGCTTTTCTGGGCAGCACCCTCGGCATCCATGGGGACGACCCGCTCCGTGGTGTTGAGCACACAGGCGTTAGCACAAATTAACAGCCAATCCGCACGGCGGTATTTACAGTCTGTTCAGAAAAGTTCCCAAATCCAAAGGCGGGTGAGGCAACAAGCACCACCGAGGTATCACACACAACCCCGACGAGTCTCGATTCGCAGTCCTCGCCCAGCGAACCACAAATGCACTCAACTGTCGCTCTCGGAGCACCCCACGATCTCGTGGGGCTCACAACCTCTGCTCTTGAGCTCCTCAGAGTCCTGGGCCCCTCCCTGGGAGGACAGCGCATGGGGCCTGGCGCAGCACCTTCCGCCCGCTCCGAGGGTCGGCAAGGTTTCCAGAGGCAGGCGTTTCGGTCTGCAGCGGGCAAGAGTGACAGAGATCCCAGAACCAGGCTGCCAATGTCCCGTGTCACACACGCACACGTAACAGAACTGACAAGAAACTTCCTCTCTAACGTGGACAAAACACAACAAACGGAACAAACACAACACACACCCTCGAGATCCATGTGCACCCCTCTCCCTGCCTGACTCCACACAGAAACTCCAAGCCAGTGTCTTTGTTTCAGGATTCTTTAAAGTCAACATCTATTTATAAGACCGCAAAAACAGACAAGAAAGAAACAATAAAAAGACAGATTTCTTTACACAGATTTAAGCCAATAATTTTTAGCAAAATGATACAAAACTGTCTTAACCAAGTAGAAGACTGGTAGTTACAGTGGAATCGTCAGGGAGCACAGGTTACCACCACTGGAGGGGCTGACAGCTCTTGCAAGGGAGTCTGAGTCTCTCTGCAACCGTCTCTCACTGCTTTCTTCCCAGCCCCGTCACAACTCAGTTCCCGTGGGGGGCCTCGGTGGCAGCCCCGGTGATGGCAGCTCTTGGAGTCTGTCCGTTTAGTTTGTATTTTGTTTCCCCCATGAGCGTCGCTGGGTGAGTGGCCTGCAGAGCTCCCGGTTAACACTTCGGTTCTAGACCGGGGGGCGCGTCACTAGTAAAGCCATTGGTAACAGAGTAGATCAGCCATGCATTGTCTGCCCTTCACAGCAAGAAGGAGAGTTCTCATCGGTGCACGACAGACTGAAGACCACTGGAAGCCACCCGACCGGGAATCTGTCGGAGCCAAAGCACAGGAGAAGGTCAGCATGAGGCCACAGAACGGGCCAGTCGGACGCTCAGGCACAGACACCACAGTGACAGAGCCTGGCAGGGAGGGGACAACTGCCGCCGCCATGCCCCCGTCTGGAGGCCTGCACCCCTGGCCATGAGACAAGACCTCTGTGGCCAGGCCGCATGCTCTGAATGAGTGCTGGGAGGGGGGAAGAGGCATGCAGGAAGGTGACCCCGGAGCCACCTCGGCAGCCATCGGTGAGGATCCAAGGGGGAGAGACACTTGCTCCCAGCCTCCCTTCCTGGAAAGTAACTGGGCATTTTGCAAACAGTGTCCCTTTAGGGGAAGACGTGAAAAGCAGTTCCTGTCAACATGTTTCCAAGAGTGCGCACAGCATTAGAGCCGCAGGAGGTCTCCCAGTGGCACCAGACCCGACAGAAGCTCAAGCCCCTGCTAGAAGGAGCCACCAAGGGCCGAGTCACTGACAAGAAGGGAGCACAGCGTGGAGGCCCAGCCATGCACCAACGCAGGGGAGCAGGTAACTGTGGCCGGAGGGCCATTACAGACGACAGCTGCGTGGACGAGATGGCTGGGCAGAGACCAGGTTTGGAAAGAAACACAAAATGAGAACAGAAATAAATGAGAGATAGGAAGAGAAACGACTAAAAAAGCCAGGACAGGCAGAGACCAAGAAGTCTGAATGCAGCAAGAGCTCAGAGCCCCCAACACCAAGCGAGGCGCCACTCAGCTGAGCACGACACACACTCCTCCCAGGCCCCACCGACCCCCGACGAGGAGGCTCAAGTGCTCTGGGGCACCTGGAGCCAGCCCTGAGGACAGCGCCATGGCACTCCTGCTCTGCACACAGCACCCAGGGACAGAAGGGGCGCAACGGCACGGTGAATGCGGTCACGGGGGCCAAAGGCCAAGGGTACAGCAGGACAGTCACTCTGCTCAGAGACACACTCTATGCACGGCATTCCCCTAGACTGGGCAGCTGACGGCAGCGGCTCTGGACCCCCACGAGGAGAAGAACAAAGCGGAAGAAGCCTCACTCTACCTCGCGGGCACCTGGCATGCAGCCCAGCCCCACCTGAGAGCGCCCACAGGCGGGGTTGGGGGTGGGGGTGGTGCTCCCAGCCCACCCGGCGCCTGCCACCTGCGAGCCCAACATGAGCACACTCACCCAGTGCCGCCTTCCGACGGGAGACGAGCAGCTACTTGCCGTGGTGTTCGAAAGGAATGCTATTCTGAGGTGGGGAAAAGACAGCTGTTGGTAAGCGTCCCACCAGCCGGCCAGCACGCGAGGCCCCGGCCCCTTGACTGCCTACGTCTCCTGTGTCCAGACAGGCGTCCTCACCTCAGCCAGGTCCACCTGGGGGCACCCAGGGAACGGCCACAATCTCACTGGCCTCTCACAACTGGCCCTCAAGTTGGAGTGGCGGCTGCTCCTCTTCTAGACGGGGGCACGGACAGACCCTCCTACCTCTTCTCACACCGAGAACCTGATGCCAGCAGGCTGTGGGGCTGTGAGGCTGGTGGCGACGGCACCGCCCCAGGACACACTTCCTCTTATGAAGGCCAGGGCTGCAGATCTTATTTTGGGGCAGGGTGTGGATTAAAGCAAGGTCTCAAAAGGAATAACTGGCATCTTTGTGGACAATTCTGGACTGATGAGGCCTTTCTTCTCAGAAAGTAAAAAAAAAAAAAATACCAAACAGATTCACCATGCTACTTGGCCAAAGAGGCCTGGCTTGACACAAACTGCCCTTCAAAGGGGGGGTACAGGGTGCACCCCCTGCAGCATGGGAGGGAGAGGCTCCGTAGCAGGCAGAGGCTGCCCAGGGGACCTACACATTGGGTGCCACTGTATGCTGGATGCTGGTCACCCGTCCAGACCTGCCCAGGGCCAGCAAGCACCAGGAAGCCCTTCTGCCAACTTGCCATATCTCCACCGGGAGCACCAACCCCTGAGAGGGGCACAAAGAACTGGGGAAATGGCAGCCCATGTAGAAGATGCGCCAGGGGGGTGGGCCACAGCACAAGTCCCTGCGCCCGGGCTCCATGCTTCCCCAGAGCTCACCCGGAGGAGCAAGCGTGCTGCCACGGCTACCAGAGTCCCCAACTTTCCTTTTTGGGAGAGGCATTTGTGTGAGTAACAGCTGCTGAACTGTAAAAGTCGGAGCAACCCCACTCCTCGTTTAACTTCCAACCCCCAGGGCAGACATTCATCTGCGGGTCTCAGAAGGGGCCTTGTTTATCCCCTGGATGCAGAACCGGGGCTGCCGGACACGGAGCCACTGAGCATGCGGGTGCAGACGGAGGCTGAAGGGAAGGGATGTGTTGTGTGGACAGCAGCCTCCCAAGAGACAGGAAAAGCCTCCCTCCTGAGGGTAGCCGAGGAGGGAGCCTGTCCTGAAGGCGGTGTGGGTGCCCTGCCCTCATCACAGGCGTCTTAAGAAAACCCTGGGTGACCAGGAACAAAAGCTAAGATGCTTCTTCTGGAGGGAAAGCACCCAAACATAAACTGTCTGGAGGCTCATCCCTGCTGTTAAAGCTGATGTTACATTTCTTCACATGGTAAACAGCCCAGAGAGCACTGGCGTGAGTGCAAGCCACAGCTCACGGCGGGAAGGAAGCACGCTCTTCTCCACCACCCTGCAGCGGTGTGCAGTCCCTCAGCACCCTCAGAGGCTGCGGGGCTGCGACAGCCACGCTCTGGGTGCTGGCCAGGGCCACACAGCCAGAAGGAGCTGCCTGAGACTGTCCAGAACCCTTGAGAACTCCAGACTCTTTCATCTTCCTCAAAAATCCCAAACCACCAGATGCCTTATTTTCTTAAAAAAAGGAAAAAGGAAAGCTAGGCCTGCCCCTTCCTTGGTCTTTGCTAGAGCCCACCACACGCAGGCCGCACTCATTCCTCCTCACGGGTTGGGAGACTATAGAGGGGCCGCGTGAGGATGGACAGGCCCAGGCGGCCTCCCAGGACCTGCTCACAGTTGTTGACGTGGGACTCCAGGGATCACAGAGAAGTCTGCTGGGACCTTCTGTGCTGCAGGGCCACGAGACCAGAGGCCACGGGTGTGCACGTGAGGGGCCCAGTCTCATGGCGCCAGCCAGGCCCCTTTACCCCACGATTCGAACAACCACTCATTCAAATTCCCTGCGTCTTGATCTCTTTGAGAGAAAGTTAATCACACAAAAAGTCCACTTCCAGTAAAATGGTTAGTGAGTTAGAAGTGTTTGGTGAAAGGATCCATTTTCTGGTAAGACGACAGGCGGCCAAGAGCGCCTGCACTGCTCGGGCCCATCCCCCGTCGTTGGGGACAGGACGCGCCTCTGGAACGAGTTCCTGCTCACCGAGGAAGACACTGAGGGTGAGCCAAGCACCCCACAGGACGCCAGCCCCTCCATGGCTCACTGCTGACCCCTAGCCTCTGTCCCCATAGGGGACCCTGAAAACTGTCTCAAGAGAAAGAATCCGCATATATGTAAAAAGTTGTTCTGGTCTGAAAGAAGTGTGTTAGCGAATGCAAAACAACAGAAGCCAGAGCGAGAGGGAAGATGCTGGGAGAGGAAGATGGGTGTGAGGAGCCCCCGTGGCCAGGCCGTGCCACCCTGCCTTTGACGCGCAGCAGGCTCGTTTCTCGGAGCACACTTCCCTCGTGACAGAGCCACACAGTCGACACGGTCGTCAGAAGATGAGGAGACTCAAAACGTGGCATGCCACCGGGGAGGGCCACCACCGAAGGCTCCTACCGCCCCGGCCCCAGCCAGAAGTGTGGGCAGCTCCCGCGCAGAGACCCTCCCTGGCCAGCAGGAAAGAGGAAGTTCCCGGAGATGGGGTGCGCCACAACATCCCCTCCTCCTGACAAGGTGTGAGCAGGCGCACGTCTGTATGGGGCGCATGGCTGGGGGCACCCGAGCAACAGCAGAGGAAAAGCCCTCGACGCCCACAGCCCGCTACCTGCCACACTGCAGCTGGGCAACAAGCCCTTTGGCAGTGCAGCTTGTCTCTCAGGCTCTCAACCAAGAGGCCAAATCAGCAACTACGAACGCAACTTCCCCACAGGTTAAAAACAAAAATGGGAAACATTAAAAAAAAAGAAGAAAACAAACCCTTCAAAAAAACTCATCTTACTCTCGACTTTGAGGTTTTAAGACAGGGTAATAAGGCAGAGGCAGGCGCTGACACACATCCCCACGCCTGGGCCTGGCACGCCCCAGCCTCAGTGAGCTCAGAGCGCGTACCTGTGAGGTGGACATGCGAGAGGTATCTTGTCGGCCCGTGAGATCGGACGAGGAGATGTTGACTGGGGCCCCACGGTGCAGCCGCATACTCACTTTCCGCTCTCTTTCCATGCCGGACACGGGCCGAGGAGAGGTGTTAGCTGAGAGGAGGGAGAGAAGTAGAGTGAGCACCCTGCGTGCTGCCACGCCTCTTGTGTAAGGGCCTCCCCTGGGGAAGCTGTGGCCAACAAGGACCCTTGGTGGCTTGAACATCTCACTAGACTGCAGGGGCAGCAGGGCCAACAGCCACAGCCACCCCCACTCAAAGCAGCCCAGCAGGCACCCAGCCCAGCCCTACATGCCCGCCAGCCAGCCAGGGATATCTACGGCAGGAGAGCTCTGATATGCCCATAGCATGTGGGACACAGGAGCATCAAAGGGCTTGTGGAGGAAAAATTTGCTCGCACCCCCAGGATCAGCCCCCACGTGGCCTGGGCCCCGGCTCCCCCCACCCGCAGGCCAGAGAGGCCCCCCAGCAGCTCCCCACGGCCTGCTCCAAGGGCCCTCCTCAAGGGGTGCACTCACCCGTGTGTGAGGTAGGGGTGAGGGGTGTGGGGGGAGCCACTTCCTGGGTGCCCCGCAGGCGGCCAGAGGCAGTGGAAGGGAGTCCCCGGGTGGCTGGATTCCGGGAGTGTCTCAGCCGCTCCTCTCGATCCCGCCGTTCCCGCTCGGCATCATCGGCAGCACGGCTGGCGCCCTATGGAGGGAGGAGGTGAGACCAGGATGGCACCTGGCTGTCCCCTGGTAATGTGAGAAAATACCAAGGGGCCTTTGGGACAAGACTGACCCGAGAAGTTATCTACAACGCACAGTTGAGCCAGAAAATGACCTTTCTCCTGCTGCGCGACCGCACGATCCCTGGGGGTGCGTAGCCCGTGTCCTTCCCCAACACACCAGAGCAAACCCCTCTGTGCTGGGCACCTGGTAGCTCAGAACCTCCTTAAACTTTGAAGCAGAAGGCAATCGGGTGGCCTGCTCCTGTGCACATCCACACCCTGACACCAAGAGGGGGATGAGCCCCAAATGCCTACAGTGGGGGAGGAGAGGGGTGCAGCGTTTGGCCGGGTGACAGTCTGCCAGAGGCCAGCCCCAGGAGGAGCGCTGCGCCATAGGGTCCCCAGCAGCAGCAGGCACACACAGGCAGAGCAGTGACGCTGGCAGTCAGGTCTGCACTGCACGTTCTGGCCACAGCGGGCACCAGGTTGTAAGCAGCTAAGCTGAGGAACCAGCCACATTCTAATGACCAATGCCATAAGGCAGGGCCTGCACAGGGCGCCACACCCAGGCGCTACCTAGCTCTGCAGCTCTCTGCACACAGCCATGCCACCAGAGCTGGAATGATTCACTATTGGGCCCTTTACACTCTGTCCCGTGTTGAGGGAGGGATACGGAGAACAGCACTGCAGGACGACTCCTGCACCCAGCCCTGGAGGGCCTTTCTCCTGGCCCCGCCCACCCTGCAGAGCATACCCAGGCCAGCTGACTGAGCACCCCTGCCCTGCCAGGCCCCCCACACAACCCGGTCACGAGGCTGTGCGTCTTGCACTCCCTGAAGAGGCAGTTCTGCCTGTCCACCAGATTTTGTCACCTGGAAAGATTCCAACTTCTTTAAACTGACAACAGAATAAATGTTTAATGAAAAAGAACATGAAAGTTCAACGAAAGTGCCAATTCTGGCAGTGCTGTCCAAACATTAATTAATTAAACTCACACAACTGTCCCAGGGACAGGCTGCCTATGGAGAGGCTCAAGGTTCTCCTGGGCCACAGGCAGAACGTTCTCACACACAAAGTCTCAAAGAACAGGACTGTGGGTAACCAAGGACACGCCTCACCAAACCAGCTCACTACAGGGTTGGGCAGGCAGAGCGCACCCCACCTGGCCCCAGCCCCTCCTGGGCAGTAAAGACATCTGTTGCCCCCAATGCCCCCATCCGGGCTCGGCTGGGCAAGAGGCAAGAGGGGCAGGGAGCAGCCGGTGGAGCCCTCCAGCCGCACAGCAGCCTCGGAGGACCAGCTGTGCCACAGGCAGACAGACCCAAGCCGCTCTTAGGGTTCTCCTCAGCATCGGCAACCACTACCACACAGCCACCCTCTGACGAGACCAGACTGAGCCGCCAGGCAGAGCCTGTTCTGGACAGACCTGCATGTGGGCAAGGCCACAGGTGCCGTGCCGACTCTCCCCGGCAGGCATCTGGCTTCCCAGCATCCTTGCCTTCAGCCAGACCTCATCCTCTCAAGCCAAAGTCTGCCAGGGACGCCTGCCTCTCACAGTTCGGCAGACACACCTGTCCGGCCTGAACCACGCCCGTTGCAGTGCCCACACGAGACCCAAGCCCAGACGAGGCGGCCGCCAGCCTCCCGTGCCGCACGTGCAGGGGTGAAGGAGTTGGCAGTGGCGCTTACAAACTTGAGCATGTTCCAGTCAAACACGTAGTCGTAGGAGAAGCCCTGGCGGTGGAACAGATTCCTGAAGAGCTGCCTCAGGTATGAGTAGTCAGGTTTATCATCAAAACGCAAGGAACGGCAAAAATTCAGGTATGTGGCAAATTCAGCTGTAAAACAAGAGACTCAAAGCTAACGAGTGAACTCCTGACCGAGACACAGAGTAGGGTCTGTTAGCATCACTGTTTACCTCCTTTTCTACACATACTGAAGGTGTGAAAGACGCAACCTGAAACATCAGTCACGCTTTAAGAACCTAGGCCTTAGGGAAGAGTTTCTAAACATTCAACATCACAGAGCAGAGTCTTATTTTATCTAGGGCATGTATTCCAGGGCCAGTCCCACAAAAACAAATGGACAGGCACTGAGTTACGGCTCCAGAAGCAGGAGACAGCAGGGAGGACAAACTGTGGCCACTGTGAAGACCAGGACTGACCGCCCTCACCTGCCCAGCCACACGGGTCTCCTTGAGACCCAGCCCTGCCTCTGGGCGTTGGCCTCGAGCATGGGCCTGCCTCGCCCACCATTGTTCTGGGGCCTCAGATTGCCAAACAGACAGTGCCCGGCAGGCACTTCGGAACAGGGTGGCCACCCACTAACCTCCATACACAAGTCCCCCTCTTTCCTGCCACCCTTTCTGTACAAGGTGAGCGAGTCTTCTGATTCGAGCCAGACACCTGCATGGACCCTCTGAACCAGCTCTACCGAAAAGACAGGCTGGAGGACACTTACAAGGATAGCCTTTGCATAACACTTCAATGGGAGTGGACATTTTCTTCTCACTAATCCTTTCATATTTCTGCCTCTTGGTGGCAGCCTTCAGCCCCTGCCAGGGGAGAGAGCCCAGGTTGAAGTACATCAGCACATAACCCAGAGACTCCAAGTCGTCTCTTCGAGATTGCTCTGAAAAGGAAAGAGAAATGTGTAAAGGACAGCGCTTGTGTAAAGCAAAATACTCAGCAAACGCATGCAATGGAATACTTTTTGACCAAAAGCTGCCCCTCATGTGCTCCTAAGCAAATTCCTGAGCTCCCCTGATAGAACGGCATCAATGCCACAGAGAAATGCTTGGAAAATCCAGCATTTGCCTGCCCTCCACACCCGACAGTCACTGAAACCAGCCCGCCTGCTACAAAGGGGTGATGACAGCTCTAGACCTCCCAGTGGTGATCGCCAACCACACTCATGAGCCTGAGGTCACCTGAGAGGCCAGCCTCCCCAGGCTGAGGGACAGACATGACCGGAGGCATCCCAGCTCAGTGACCCCACACCCAGGGGCTCACCAATGCCGAGGTGGGTGTTGATGGAGGCGTACCGCGCCGTCCCTGTGAGGTTTTTGTTCTCCCGGTAGGGGATGTGCTGGTGGGTCCTCGCGTCCCGGTACTTCTTGGCCAGCCCAAAGTCGATGACATAGACGAGGTTACCCTTCTTCCCCAGCCCCATGAGAAAATTGTCTGGCTTCACATCTCGGTGGATGAAGTTCTTTGAATGAATGTATTCGATACGACTAATCTGCAAGCAGAGGGCAACGTGAGACGGCACCCGGAGTAGCACGTCTGAGAAGGAGCCTGTTTGGCAGAGGGAGGGTCAAGCGGGAGCTGCACATTCTCCACCCTCCTGCCCAAGAAGAGCAACTTAACAACGAGGAAGGGTGGATGATGAACTAACCAAAGTCACCTCCCCAGGTACCTTCAGCCCCGCTGCACCCCCAGGCCTGATCACTTCTTGGCTCTCGGGGAAAGGACTGTCGCTACTACACAATGGTCTCTACTGGCTGTATTCTTGCACAGGCTACACACAAGAATTTGCTCAGAAACTACACGAGTTGTTAGGAATGAAATGTGTGTTCCTGAGAGAAACAGGGAGACCACTCGAGGAGAACGTGCTATGTGATGCTGAGAGGGTGGGTCCCCAAACCAATCAACTGTGTCACTATCTTGAGGCTAAAATCAAACCCATTTCCCTTTTCTCTCTGTGAATTAATAGGCATAAAAATGGACAGAACAGCAACGGGACAATTAATTCTACCAGACCAACTGCTATGTACCAAGTGCTCACGCTGCTTGGGCACATCAGAAAACTGGGTCCTTACCATCTGGTCGGCCAGCAGCAGAACCGTCTTGAGACTGAACTTCCTGGAGCAGAAGTTGAAGAGGTCTTCCAGGCTGGGCCCCAGCAGCTCCATCACCATGACGTTGTAGTCCCCCTCGGCTCCACACCACCTGATGGTGGGGATGCCCACTGGGAGAGACAGACAGAGACCTTCAGTCCCACCACCCCACTGGCTGCCCTCATCCTCATGTGTGCGGGGGGTGGGGGGGGTGTCAAGAGGCTCAGGGAGCCCCAATAATGCCCATCCTCAGGACTTGTAGTGGAGATGAGGCCATGTCTGTTCACAGATGGCACGAAGCCAACTGCGGGCTCAGACGGACAGAAAACGAACAAAGCCAGGGCAGGGGCGTGGGAAATGCAAGGAGAAGGCGCTGCTTAGGCAGAGAGGACCAACAGAGCCAGCTGGAAACCAGTTCACCAGAGAGGAGGGGAGGCTAAGAAGAAAGATCTGGAACACAAGGCTAAGAAAAAGAAGAGAAATGTAGCTACAAGGGGCTGGATGAGAGAGAAAAAATCTTTTAATTACTCTGATGTTGGCAGAAATATTATGATGGTGCAAAAGTAACTGCAGTTTTCACACTGTTGAAATTTGCCATTTGATACTGGAATACATTTTTAAATGTGATTGCGTTGTACATCATTTTAATGCGTATTTCTCACTTTATGTTTTTGCTAATGACTTACTACTTGCTATTTATTTTAGACTGTGGAAATGTTAGACATAAAGCAAATTCAAGCAATTTTCTCATTTGAGTTCAAAATGGGTCGTAAAGCAGTGGAGACAACTCGTAGCACCCACGGCGCATTTGGCCTGGGAACTGCGAAGGCATGTGCAGTACAGTAGGCAGTCAAGACACTCTGCAAAGGAGACGAGAGGCTTGAAGATGAGGAGCGCAGTGGTCAGCCACCAGAAATTGACAACAAACAACTGAGAGCAGTCATCAAAGCTGACCCTCTTACAACTACACCAGAAGTTGCTGGAGAACTCAACATTGACCATTCTTTCTACGGCTGTTCGGCATTTGAAGCAAATTGGAAAGGTGAAAAACCTTGATACACAGCTGCCTCAGGAGCTGACAGAAAATCAAAAAAATCGTCAGTTTGAAGCGTCGCCTCTCTTCTCCTACACAACAACAACAAACCATTTCTTGATCAGATTGTGACATGCAATGAAAAGTGGATTTTATATGACAACCGGTGACGATCAGCTCAGTGGCTGGACCAAGAAGAAGCTTCAAAGCACTTCCCAAAGCCAACCTTGCACTAGAAAAAAGTCACAGTCTCCATTTGGTGGTCTGCTGCTGGTCTGATCCACTACAGCTTTCTCAATCCCAGCGAAACCATTACATGTGAGAAGTGTGCTCAGCAAATCAAGGAGATGCACTGAAAACTGCAACGCCTGCAGCCGGCACTGGTCAGCAGAAAGGGCCCGACTCTTCTCCACAACAACGCTCGACTGCACATCGCTCAACCAACGCTACAGAAATGGAATGAATGGGGCTACGAAGTTTTGCCACATCTGCCATATTCACCTGACCTCTTGCCAACCAACTATCACTTCTTCACAAGCATCTCCACAACTTTTTGCAGGAAAAAAAACTTTTACACCCAGCAGGATGCAGAAAATGCTTTCCAAGAGTTCATCAAATCCCAAACATGGATTTTTATGCTATAGGAATAAACAAACTTATTTTTTGTTGGCAAAAATTTATTGATTGTAATGGTTCCTATTTTGATTAATAAAGATGTGTCTGAGCCTAGTTATGATTCAAAAATCAAGTTCCAAAACTGCAATTACTTTTGCAGCAACCTAAATTTGGTTGGATGAAAGAAAAGCAAAAGCAATGAAAACTTTCTGGAGATTTACACAGTAACCTAGACTTAAGTATATAAATCAGTGTGAGAACAAAGACAGACAGACATACCTAACAGAAAGAATCAAGTGATCCCGCAGCCCAAACAAGGGAAAGAATTTAAAGACGGTTTTTTTTTTTTTTTTGAGACAGAGTCTCGCTTTGTTGTCCAGGCTAGAATGAGTGCTGTGGCGTCAGCCTAGCTCACAGCAACCTCAAACTCCTGGGCTCAAGCAATTCTTCTGCCTCAGCCTCCCGAGTAGCTGGGACTACAGGCATGAGCCACCATGCCCGGCTAATTTTTTATATATATATATCAGTTGGCCAATTAGTTTCTTTCTATTTATAGTAGAGACGGGGTCTTGCTCTTGCTCAGGCTGGTTTTGAACTCCTGACCTTGAGCAATCCGCCCGCCTCGGCCTCCCAAGAGCTAGGATTACAGGCGTGAGCCACCGCGCCCGGCCTTAAAGACGGTTTTAAGATATTAGCTCTGAAGATACAAATCAACACTAAAAAGACAAACGATCCGCTTTCGAAAATGGCGAACGACCCGGACACTTCAGAGTTTGCACGGACAGTTGACGGCCGTGAGGAGAGGCCCGTGCACTTGTCCAAGAATGTGCACAGCAGCCTTACTGCAGAGTCAAAATTCAAGTCCTGTAGAAATAGACAAACTTCTCAAAATACTGTCCCCAGAATATGCTCTTTGGTCCTTTTCCTCCTATATCCACAAGAGCACATGATTTTTTAGTATGCTCTCACAGCACTGGATCCTAACTATACATATAGTTCTTCATACAGCTTTCTGAATTAGCTGGATCAACCTTTTATGTCCTTCCATGGCAAGGACATAAAGATATATAGATTTTTAGTTAGCCTCATAGCAAGTTTTAATGCCAATCAAGAAATTCCCTTCATTTTAGAACTTATTTCATTATTTTAAAATAGATATTAACATTTTACTTGGAAACAAATTTAACAAGTATTGACCTTATAAAACATAATGTAACAGACCTGGAACATTCCTGACAGCAGCCCCCAGCCCCCCCACCTTCTGATCTCATCCCCGGTTCCCCAGATCCTTCCTGTTTGATTGGGCAAGTAACATGCTGCATAACATTCCATTCAGAGAACACACCACAATCTACCTACTCTCCTGTCACGGGAATGGTGCAGGCTTGCTTTTCCTATTATAAAAGATGCTGTTGAGTACATTCTTACACCTGCCCACTGTGAAAATACTTACACATGAAATCCTTTTTCACAGCTTTTTTTCTTCTGGTACATACCTAGAAACACAGAAGCTGAGCCGTAGGGTACAAATTGTCCGACTACGTAAAGCACACGAGATGACACTAAACTGCTTTTCAAAATGGATAAACCAATTTAGACTGTGGCTGGCAAGAGTGACTTCCTGTTGGTGCACATTCTCTCCAGACTCTTGTCACCCAGCAGGTACAAAATGCTCTCTCACCAAACGTTTTATTTTCATCTTCCCATGCATTTACCTCTTTTCTGAAATGCTTGTGCCTATATTTTTGCCAATTTTTTCTATTATGGTGTCTTTTTCCTATTTATAGTAGTTACTTATAGACTCTGGAAACTGGCCAGGTGAGGTTGCACATGTCTGTAATCTTAGTACTCTGGGAGACTGAGATAGGATGACTCAGGAGTTTGAGACTAGCCTGGGCAAACACAGGGAGACCCCATTCCTGTCTCTATAAAAAATAATAAACATACAATGCAAATACAATACTTTCCTTCAGTAAAATAAATAAATAAAAAATAATAAAAAATAGCCCGGTGTGGTGGCACATGCCTGTAGCCCCAGCTATTTGGGAAGGAGTTGGAGGTTGCAGGGAGCTATGATCAGGTCACTGTGCTCCAGCTTGGGTGACAGAGCAAGACTGTCTCTTAAAAAAAAAAAGTCTGGGAAACAAACCATTGTTGGTTTTGTGCGAGGCCAATATCTTCTTTCAGTTAATGGCATGTTTTTTATTTTCTTTTGGAGTTTCTTAAAGAAAAGAGGTGCTTAGTTTTAGCAAAGATAAATTCATCATACTTTTTCTTCATGAGTAATGCTTTCAGTATCTTACATTAAGAAGTCATTTCTGACCTTAGAATCACGAAAAAAATGTTATTTTTGTCTTTTTGAAGTGTAAAAGTTACTTCTACATCCAGCAAAGATGGAGTAATAGGGACCCAATTTACCCTTGAGATAACTAAGGAAACAAAACATAAAATGTGTCTAGATGCTCAGAAATACGTGGGGAAAAAAAAAACGTAAAACGTGAAAGGTGGTTTCTAGGACATTGGACATCTGGCAGATGACACACTGATGCTGAAAAGAAAGCAGCAGCAGCCAGTTCCCAAGTGCCCCAGTTCACTGCCATGAGCATCATCACAAAAGCAGGAACTGCACAGAGAAACTCGCCGTAACTCCACCCAGAACAAAGCTGAGCCGGATAAAACATCCAACGTGGGAGAAAGTAAAATTCTCAGTGTTTGGCATCCAGAGATTACCGGGCAGGCAATGAAATAGAAAACACCACTCAGAGAGAGCAATATATTAGAATCAACATAAAAAATTTATTAGCATAAATTTATTTATTAGCAAAAAATTTATTAGCATAAAAACTTATTAAAAATTTTACCTGTATTCCATGTCAAAAAGTTCTCTAACTGAATTCCATGTCAAGAAAGTTAAACAAAAGCATGGAGATATGGAAAAACCCAAATCTAATATCTGGAGAGGTAAACTACCTTGTCTGAGATGAAAACTACACTGGTGGGATTAACAACAGAGCCAACACTGCAGGAGACTCACAAACTTGAAAGCAGAGCAATAGAAACTATTGAATAGCAAACAGAGAAACACACACAGGGGCATCAGCGAGCCAAGGGACAGCATCAAGCCACCTCACCCAAATGATTGGCGACCCAGAAGGGAAGACTGGGGGCCACACTGGAAGAAACAGCTGGATGAAAACAAACCCACAGATCCAAGCAGCTCAGCCCAGTCCAAGCAAAAGACCATGATGGAAAGTACACTGACACACGTGGTCCCATAGCTCGCACGATCCCCAGCAGACCTGCCCGTGTGAGCGTGTTAACTCCTTCAGGCAGGGAAATCATGCCAGATGAAGTCCGGACCTAAACACAGGATGAAAAGCACTAAAAGTAACTGCATCTTTTAGTTGACCATCATCTGTGGAGCTGTCTCTCTTTATATTTGTGTACACGTATATATAGTACAGGTTGAGTTTTCCTTATCCA